ACTTTTTAGTATTTATACTAACGATTTGCCCTCATCAGTCCACCATAGTAAACTTGAATCGTACGTGGACGACTCCAAGATATTACTATCTTTCACTGTGGCTAACGTGGACTGTTTAAAGCAACAACTTGAGGAGGACTTGTATTTGATTGCAAACAGTTGTTCCGAAAATGAATTGCTTATTAACCCGGGAAAGACCAAATACATGCTGATTGGCACACGGCAAAACCTACAACAACTTCCCGTAGATATGACCATAAACTTCCTCAACGAGACAATTACCCCCGTCTCCTTTGCCAAAGATCTAGGAATGACAATCGACTCTTATTTGACATATGACCAGCACATCACCAACCTGATTTCCTCATGTATGAATTCCCTGTGCCAAATAAACCGAGTCAAAAAATGTTTCGATAAAGAAGCTTTAACTCTCATCGTCTCGGCACTTGTAATGAACAAAATGTTCTATTGTTCAACGGTTTGGTCAAACACTTCTTCTACCAACATTAAGAAACTACAGTTGGTACAAAATTTTGCATGCAGGATAATAACAAATATTGGAAAGTTCGACCATATTTCGCCGGGCTTACGCAAACTTAACTGGCTCCCAGTAAAGGAACAATTACTACTAAGAGAGGCTATTATGATGTACAAATGTGTCAATGAACTTGCTCCACATTATTTGAGCGATTTATTCACAAAACGTTCTGACATTCATCAACGAGATACACGTAGCCATGACTCACTGCAAATACCATTGTACAAAACTTCTGCAGGTCAAAGGTCCTTTCATTATAGAGGCGTTACACTTTGGAATGATTTGGACATTAAGTTCAAAAAGTTAAACTCCCTAAAAACTTTCAAAAACGAACTGAAGCGAAGCATGCTAGAACAAATATATAAGTAGATAATTTTACCTTGTTAAACTTTATACAAATGTCTTACCTTTTTACCTTAATTTAAATTCTAGATTCTAAAACTTGTAAATAGAACAACATTTATTTTTTGTAAATCAGTGTTGAAAATCCCTTTTTAGGGAACACAATAAAGTATGTATATATGTATATGTATATGTGGATCATGATCTAATGCGAAATTTACATCAAGTATTACGCTTACCTAATTACTCTTTACAACAATTTTGATATTACTTCACGGCTTAACAGTGTTTATCCTAACCCACCCTGTCAACTTTCCCTGTGGGAGGAAACTGGAGCAGCCGGAGAAAACCCACGACTTTCGGCCCGACCGAACTCAGAGACAGAGGTAAAAGGCCCGTGCTCTCACGACCACGTCATCCAAACATTAGCCAGCTTAAGCATGTAGGACGGCAACACGACGACGACGGCCAAAACAAATTACTTCAAATAAATGATAGTAAAGAAAACTTGTCGTATATTATAATTCGTATGAAGTTAATACAGTATAAGAAGCTGAAAACATTGGCTTTATGTTTGGGAAGAGTTCCACTGACCGAATTTTAAGTTGCACTTGTTACGGCTTATAATGCAGGCGTTGTATAAAAGACGTGAAAATCTGTGATTTGCCGTTGTAAACAGAACGACGACCACGTCTGAAACTCCCCTGGGACTTTAATTATTTATTTCTTTTCATTGACTCATTGTATTTGTTGCCGTCGTCGTCGTGTTGCCGCCTACGTGCTTAAGCTCCCTGTTTTGCAAAGTAACTACAGTTTAAGCCCTACATATGTTATTAGAGACAATTTTAGGTCTAATCATATAGAGGGCAAAATTACTCAAATATGATTGGCTAACGAGGGCATTTTTTCTTAATTCAGGGCAAAATTACTTGTGTTTGATTGGCTGAGACGCAATCGCGGGAAGTTTCTTGTTTTAAATAGCAATAAAAACAATGGTTTCTCGCTTTGTCGTTCACGGATAATGATGCTACTGAAAACTCGAACACTATAAAAAAGTACAAATTTATAGGTTGGGGTATTTAAGAAATGGGCAGCATTAAGGAATATCGGCGAAGACATGGAGACATACGAGGTTCAAGAAACTTGACATTAATGATTTTGACACCTACGATTAACAATGTTATTAACTATATGTGAAACTTTGAAAACACGCGTGAAATTAAACATTAATTTTACTCGAGCTCGGCCCCATGCGATTACCTATACAAATGTTGACGGGCATATACGTAACGTTTTCCTGATCCGTAGTTTCTGCAAGATTTTTCCATAATTAAGGACGAATATATAAAGCCAGTGATAAAATAATAAAAATGTATCGTTTCAATAGTGTGGACGTAGATATTTTAATATTATACGCTTTCAAATTATTTCAAAACGAAGACGGTAGCCTGAGTGATACTAGAGAGTTTAAGTTCGACTTCCGATACCAATACCGATACTAACAACATGCCACGCGCATGCTCTCTGCTCGCAAGAAGCACGAGGACAAGTGTATTGGAAGTCACCACTACCGAAGTCGGCTTTGTATTGGAAGTCGGGGGAATTGTAAGATAAACTCATATAAATCGGATATTTCATAATTTTTACGATAAACATGTAAACTATTTGTTTATTAGCGTCGCCTGAGTCATGTTTTAGTCGGAATTTTATCTCAGCTGCCGTTTAGAATACCGCACATTTTCGGTGACGATTAATGTGTTCTACACTTTATCTGTCGTAATAACTTAACGCTTTAAAATTCCCGGTTCCAAAATGGAACGGAAGTGAAAAAATCGGTATCGGTATTGGTATTGGAAGTCGAACTTAAACTCTCTACTATAAAAACTGAAAGAACGAGTCAAACACAGTTCGAAATATTAACGATACTTTTAGATTTAATGAACGGATAAAACTTTTAAATTATTAAACCTATTTACATTTGAATATATTGGCCAACCGAACCGCTGCAGAGCCTATTAAAATTTAAATGAGAGCAATATTTCGTCTGAAAATTATGTCTGCAAAATGAAGGGCAGATGAACAAACGGTTTTTGTAAAGAAATCTAAATGGAATTTGAACAGCTGTCATATGTGTATGTACATGACATTGTAAAAGGGCAACCGACATTCTTGAATTGAACTAAAGGGGCAATTGAAACGCGACAGTGTTCTATCATACAGTAGGCCTATTACAAAGTCACAGACAAGCAGGGTCGGTCGTTTTTTTTCTGGCTTCAACTCACTCGTAAGAGGCGTCAGTTGGCCGACTAAAAATCTCAATAACAATGTCGAGAATATCAACGTAAGATTTCTCCGGCATTCGAGTTTGCCAAATCTCTCGCTCATGTATAAAGCAATGGATTTATCCCCAGGACTGGGCTTCATACCACTAGTCTGGGCGATAGTGACAATAATTGGAGTGTTGTTTTGCTATTTTTACTCGGTCATAGTCGGTGATGTATACCCTCTAGTACCATCCATCAGCAACACTGGCACAAAAAGACCCGAAGGTGATATATTTGCAGAAACTATGAACGTATCGTCTTTCGTTTGTCTCGTTATCATGTACATACGGTATTATCAAGTCAGGTACAGGGTGCGTTCATCTTACGAGAACGCTGAGCGAGTCAACTTGGTCTCCCTTATTGTTGGAGTGGCGACCGTATTTGGGATCACCTTGGTTGCAAACTTTCCTTCATCCGAGGTATAGTTAGTATATAATCTTACATTAAATGCGATGTCAGAAACTTTGAGGCCCAGTGCATATTGCAGTAAAAATTGCAAGTGTATACTGACAGGCCTTATAACACTTGATCTCTATACGTTTGAAAGATGCCATTTTAAGACCTGCCCAAGGTCTTAAAATGGCATCTTTCAAACGTATAGATCAAGTGTTATAAGGCCTGTTTACACTTGCAATTTTTACTGCGATTTTCTTCTTCTAATGCATGTGAACGAGCAGATGAAAACGAATGTTCTGAATACATGTACCTTCGTCTCAACATTCATAACTCATCCACTCGTTCATATCCAGCAGAAGAAAATCGCACCTAAAATCGCAGCAAAAATTGAATCGCAAGTCTGAACGGGCCTTTGGTCTCTCAACTGTTTCTGGCAGTACTCAGTAGGCAGTATTTTACAATAAGTTGTTTGTGCTTTTTGCATGCTAAAAACGCGGTTGCTATAACCAATTTTTATTAAACTTTTTTGCGCCTTCATCGAACGCCTGATAAAGTCGACTTGTATTATATACTGCATGTTAAACAATCTCCGCCTTCAATATTTTAATTGCAACATTTTTCTAGAAAAGTACTAAATTGTAAAACATGTGCGAGTAAACACTACTTGCTACCTTCAATTAATTTGACATTCCCTTCACTAAAAATAAGGTGTAATAATGTATATGAACACATGCAGTTCCCATATACCCTTCGCCATTATCTTGTTGCGCATCTCATCTAATTGATCATGTGAACTTTGTCTATAAAGCTGAAACATTTCGTGTACGTACAATGCCGCTGATAGAATGGAATGATATTGTGTTTTCAAATAAATACAGCTGCGGTTAGGTAATCGTGGTCAACGTGGTTGCCGATAGAAATAATTAATCCTTAAAAGTATGTGTGAAAGTTAATTGGGATTTTAATGAGAAAAGGATTTTTAAAGGGATTGTTCATGCCAGAAACTTGCCTGCGGGTTAGGGTAAAACGCGGATGCAGACGGACAAATGAGAGGGTAAAATGCGGACGGACGGATGAGGGACGTTAGGGTTGGTGTTATAACCAGACACTCTACTACTGGCTTTACACACTCGCTTGCTGCAACTACTATAACTCAGCTGCTCGCGGTTATAAACGGAAAATGCAACAAATTGCAGTCCAATCTCAACTGGGTCACAATTAGTGCACGGTATAGAGATCGATACAACCAACTGAATCGCGCTGCAGAACCGAACGATGTCATATTCGCAGATCCAACAATGGGAATAGACTGGTTTCACGACCGAGCATAATTTTGATCTGCTGAGAAAGAAGGAAAGAAGAGCTTGAGTGACTTACGACCGTATTCAGTCCAAATTTGAGGTCTAAACTTCAAAGGAAACCGTTCAATTAATGAGTTCCCCCCAATCCCAACTGATCTTGATAATAACTTTATCAAGTATATACTTGGTCAAATTCGATGAAACGATAATATAACTAGTTTTTATTTTATGCTATTCTTCACGTTTGTGAAAAATATAGGTAATTCGATATCATCTCATGATTACCATTTTCGCCAAATAAACCAATAGTAAATATTATTAAATATAGTTGGGCCAAAAAGCTTTTGGTTAGTGGGACGAAAATACAATATGGACTAAATTTTGGCATATATTTCTCAATCTCAACAAAAACATAGAACCATGCGGGTTGTATATGATACTCCCATTAGATTTGTGCAGCAGACATGCACGAGTGAGTTTTTCAAAGACGTTCAAAATTTGACCACTATAGTGACACACAAGACTGCCAATCAACTGTAATTATTCAGCTGAGCATCTCTCTAATTATATATTCAATTGGATTTTTCAGGAGACCACGACTTCTACCGTTCACGATATTGGTGCTGTTTTGACGTTCATTGCAGCATTGTGTTACTGTGCAACACAGACTTTCACAACCTGGAAACTTTATTGTTTTAATATCGACGATCGTTTATCGTGGATATACAGACTGACCATTACATGTATTATGATGACAGCTGGATCATTGTTCTTACTGTTCTCCTTGTTTGCTTATGAAGAATTCGAGGATAGTCATCCAACTCACACTATCTTACAGTGGGACCAGAAAGATGGTGGTTATAATTTACATGTGTTTAGTAACGTCTCTGAATGGATTGGTGTTACTTGCTTTCTACTGTTCCTCGTCAGTTATTTCAACGAATTCCAGGAAATAAACATTGTGACTAACTGTATTCCGAAAAGTTCTAATTGCATCGAATCAGTGGAGTTAGAAAAACTGCAGGAAAGTTCGTAACTGCTTTAATGTCCCTGGTGAATACAGTGTTTAAAAAGGAATTTTGATGCTCATATAGTTACTGCATGTATTACAGTAACTACTGTAGTTTAAAGGGATACTGCGAAAATGGCTAGCTTATCTCAATATCTCATTTAACAGAACTTTGTTTCATAAATTAATTGCAGTGTGATTAAAAACAAACATTGTGACAATTACTCTAAATTCATTTAAAAAATTTTAAGAATTAAGCAACATACGAGAAAACATGTTTTCATGCACAAATCATTTTAAATTTGAAACAAGGTTACGTAAATTTACCTTGACGCCTTTAAAATCTTCCCTAATGCTATTGCCTAAACGCATTGAGAAATATGACTCTCTATACAGTCATTTGTTGTGACCTTTTCGAGATAAAGTAGATTTTCCCAATTCATAGTACTCTCTTCACGAAAATCTGTGCTGTAAAAATATAATTTTGAACCGGCAGAGAATTAAGAATTGTAAGAGATTGTTATGAAACCTGTGGATCTGGAAGCAACTAAAGATGCTTTCTGTTGAAATTTATTATGTTCACTGCAAATAAATGTGGTTTTGCACTTGATATTCAGTGTGTTAAACTTGATTCTATAACTGCATGCATGTAATTACTTAAACGAGATAAATTTAATTATATGCTTAATTATGTTTAAGAAATAAATATATTCATCTTAAGCAGGATTGGCACTTGCAATGTCTGGCTTCTATATGACTTATAAATTCTGCTCTGCATATAAAATAAAACAAATTTCGCATAGATGTATCTTGAAAATCAAAAATACTGTATATGCATGAATATATCTTCGTCATCTGCATGACGAAGGCTTTCGACGCATCACTATACACATATAAATTTTGCTTCATTTTAATCCATATCTTGAATTTTCAAGATGAACCTATTTGGAATTTGTTCTAATTTGTATTAAAATTTTTAAAATATTGTCATCTGAGTGGTGACGAAAATGATTAAGCAAGGTGAAATGTAGCTGCCCTATTGCCTATATCATTGATTGATTTTAAAACAAATATCATTTAAGGTTAGATTCAAGTTGGTTCATAATCATATCCTAGCTACTCAAGATACCAAATTTTTGTTGTTCTCCATAGCAAAATAATTAGTATATAAAATCTTGTTATATATAGTAAGTGACTGACAGGAAAGGAAAAGATAAGAAATCAGTTTATTTAAAATACTTAATGTACATACAAATAATTAATGTCCACTTTGCATTGCATCTAATCAAGGCGTGCAATCGTATTATGTGCATCATACTATTTTGGAATTTGCCAAATATAGATCTATGCACAGTACTGTAATTATGATGAAATACTGTACCAACAATTTCTTACTTGGCCTGGCAATACTGTAGCATTAAGTTTGTAATGGGCGGCAATAACTGTAAACCAATGTGAATTGTACAGAACCTGATTTTACGACATACTGAAATGTTCATACAACAGACCCAGTGCAGATGCATTATACTGATAAAAGTGATAGAGAACCTATAAACTAGCCAGCATTGGTGGAAGACACTAGGGGGAGGGGGAAACTCCCTCCAATAATTTATGCCAGCCAGTATAAATGTACAATTAAAGGCCTGTTTAAACGGATCCAACATTGTTGGACCAACATCATCCAACAATGTTACTATACTAGATATGACTGCTTCTCTTTCAAATCTTTTTGGTTAGATAAGCTTTACTCAAACCCTAAACCTGGTCTTGACAAAATATTTGAAAAAGAAGCCGTTTGAGCCATTATTTCAACAATGTTGGATGATGTTGGCCCAACAATGTTGGCCCAACAATGTTGGATCCGTTTAAACAGGGCTTAAGCTGCAGAAATAATATTTCAACTATGGAAGCATTTGTGAGCTACTCTATAATAAGCTATGCACTGCATGAAATTGCATGGGGGGAGGGGGTGGGGGGTTCCTACAAATGGTGATCATATGTTGGCAACCTAACTCCTCCCCAAAATATTTTGCAAAGTGTCTGCCACTGTATGCCATACAGTGGACATCTAAAAATACCCAATTTATATAATCCGCATTTAACTAAATGCAAACATATCAAAATCCTGCTAAACATACCCATTCACCCCCAATATCTGCCATTGTGGCCTTAGCAAGACTAACAGATTTAAAAAGATGGCTCACTCCAGAAAATATCCGCATGATATCTACATGTATCATATAATATCTGGAGGAAATTTGTGTTGTTTGGACTTGTAAAATGTACTGGGACCCAGGTGTGAGTTTCAGTCCAAGTTCAGGCTAAGTTATCAAGCCAGGATTAGGGTTATGGATTAGACTGGTTGAGATTGAAAAGGTTTACATAATCACAGAGCAAAGGTAAACCCAAACTCAAGATTAACTCGTATCACAACTACAAATATCCCAAAATGTACCAGTTAAACTAGGCGGTGCTGCAAAATTAGATTATGCCAGTCAAGAATAAAATCCTCCAGGTCAAACACTAACAACTGTTCATGAGCATTTGGGTTCCATTTTGGATATATTTAATAAATTTGCATAGCATTGTTTTGACAGATAGTCAAGTGACACTGCGAATGTGAGATTCTGATCACATGTAAACCACAATGTCTCATTGGCTGGCAAAGAAATTTGATCACCATGCTTGCATCTTAACATTAAATATCAATACAGTATGCGCACAGGTAAAAAACATCACTGGCACTGCTCTATAATAATATTTACCCAGTCCAAATAATCATCTGGTCACTGCTAGGATATTTGAGTGTGTGAAATCAGCATGCAGGGTGCAAAACCCTGATTTATTTAGTTTTATATTCTATTGAATTAATTTTTCCTGTCAAAATATGGCATATGACATCCAGTTTGACAACTTGTTAGTGTCACATACTAGTAGCGTCTGAGTATCAATTTAATTGATTTGCAAATATAGTTATTTTGGCAGGGCTCAAAATAACGACCGGTCAACAGACAATGACTCTTCAACGGTCACTTTTTACCTCACCAGTCATTTTGACCGGCCACATTTTCATGCGTTGCCAAATGTGATTGCTGATATCTTGAAACATAACATGAAACTATGATGTATCGAAACAAGATTCCATTAGTTTGTTTCACTGTTAGTTTAAGCATATAAATGAAGGGTCAAAAATAAATTTTGACCAAGCCAAGCTAAAATCAAGTTGACCAGTCATTTTGACCAGAGATCTATCCCCTGTTATGTTGAGCCCTGGGTGCAATGCAGATGTTTTCTGGAATATGACCCAGTAGTTTGAAAATCTATCTAGATCTATGAGATATCAATAACCTCATTACCATCTAACTCATCTTGTTCCTGCATGAAAGTTTTGATCAACTTACACCTTGCCAAACCCTATGAGATATCAATAACCTCATTACCATCTAACTCATCTTGTTCCTGCATGAAAGTTTTGATCAACTTACACCTTGCCAAACCACAGTTACATGGCATCGGGTGGTCCTCCTCATCAGAAAGAACTTCAACCTGGATGTTATAATGACGATGATTTGTAGCACTCTGTGACAGCTTAATGTTAAAACCAATGACATCACCAGCTTGTAGACTGATTTCAGTTGGTAGGACAATTACAGTTTGTTTCCAGTGGGTGGGTGGACATCGTGGGGCAGTTGACAGAATTAAGCTGTTTTCCGACTTCAGTTCTGTGGGAAATTCACAGTCAAACCATAGCACGATGCCACGACAGATGTTCTTCTCCATACTCGATGTAAAAAACTTACTTTGAAATTGTTTCACATCTTCTACAGTGACATTCATTAAATTGAACTGTTTCACAATCTCAGGGCCAGCAACTAGTTCACTGTTATCAACAGATAAAATTTGTGGTGACTGTTGTTTGTTTTGAAGCACTATCTGCTTTACGACAGAAAAATCATAGCCATGTACAGTATCCCAAAAGTCAATCTCTTGTTCATAAAAGCCATTAAGATTTGACGGGCATGCATATATGGAAGCCTTGCTAGGAAACATAGTTCCAGAATCTTTAAGAAACCTATCCCGTGCTAATATCACAGAATCCAACATTGACTCATGGAGTAGATAAAATCCCATCCACTCAGATATGATTACATCAACTTTCTCAGAATTTGGCAGAATGAAGTCTTCCACTTGGCAACTGAATACTTCAATAATATTTTGAAAGTTATTTTGTCTGACTATATCCCTTGCAATTAAAGAAATATTACTAGCTTCGATAGAGAATACTTTCCTTGCTCCTGCCTCTGCTGCAAAGAGCGAAAGTATGCCAGTTCCACAGCCTACATCCATAACAATTTTATCTTGAAATAACGCTCTGTTCTGCAGAATGGCATGCCGATACGACTCCGTGCGAGGACGATCATTCAACATGAGGCGATGAACTTCGAGATTTTCATAACTTGTGAAGTACGAAGTATTACAATCTGTTTCAGTCGTATCAGAACAGTCTGAACTTTCATCGCTTTCGTCTGTGATATTTGACTTCATGATATAGTAAAATTTGAACTTTCAAGAGAGAACTCGAGAAAGAATACTTTATGTATCGGACAAAACATGTGGACCATGTGGTACAAAATAACTAGCATCGCTAATATTATATGAAGTATTAGCCTTTTGTACTGGGGAAACCGCTTTCACTGTGACTGAGCTTCACACGGCAAAAAATAGTTCAAACCACTGATCTGAAATAAGACTGGATAACGCATCTATAGTATACAAAAGTGAAGCCGGAAGTCACCGACCGCCACCCGATTCTGGGGCCCCACTTTTGTATAGATTTGTATTACAGACGGTAGTTTTTCGCGTTTTTTGCCTTGGCTACTTTTCCGATCGGGCCAATTTTACAATCACAACGATAGAAGCATACAAGAAGAATTTTGAGCAAAACATTTGGAGTATTATGGCTTTATAACGCCGTGAAACGGGATTTACAACTCTGAAGGAGTGGAGAGCCTCAGACTTTGTTTATCAACACGAGCTCGTTTTGCTACTTTCATACAAAATCAACTCAAAATATACAAGAATTATTGTTACTGGACGAATATTCTCACGCAATTTGAAGAAATGAAGCAGCTACATTGTGAACAAAAGCGGCGTACGGAGGTTAGTTTTAAAATACTTCGAGGCTACTTCCATAATTATATGAATTAAAATAACATATTGAGTCGTTGTTTATAATTTGGATTAAAAATATTTCATTGTCACTTCACTTGTCTTCCTACTTTAAAACATATAAAACTTCTCGACAAGTCGCCTAGAAATGCTTTTGACAAAATTGGCATTTAAAACTGTTCCTTATTAAATTCGTATAATTATAAAAGTAGCCTCAAGGTATTTTAAAACTAACCTCAGTACGCTTTCGTTCACAATGTAGCTGCTTCGTTTCTTCAAGTTTTCTGGGAATATTCGTACAGTAAACAGTAATTCTTGTATATTTTAAATTGATTTTGTATGAAAATAGCAAACGAGCTCGTGTTGATAAACAAAGTCTAACCTCTGTACGCTTTCGTTTACAATGTAGCTGCTTAATTTCTTCAAATTTCGTAAGAATATTCGTCCAGTAACAATAATTCTTGTATATTTTGAGTTGATTTTGTATGAAAGTAGCAAAACGAGCTCGTGTTGATAAACAAGGTCTGAGGCTCTCCACTCCTTCAGAGTTGTAAATCCCGTTTCGCGGCGTTATAAAGCCATAATACTCCAAATTTTTTGCTCAAAAATCTTCTTGTATGCTTCTATCGTTGTGATTGTAAAATTGGCCCGATCGGAAACGTAGCCAAGGCAAAAAACGCGAAAAACTACCGTCTGTAATACAAATCTATACAAAAGTGGGGCCCCAGAATCGGGTGGCGGCCGGTGACTTCCGGCTTCACTTTCGTATACTATAGATGCGTTATCCTTATTTCAGATCAGTGGTTCAAACACTCATTACACTGGCCGTAGGCCAAGTGTCTTAAATCCCTCTTTTTCTGTTTTCTGTTTTCGACGAGAAATGGAGTTTGCGTTAGGTCATCGCAGGCTCAGGGTGCAACGTGCTCCAGTGACATATTCAGTTCAGTTTCAAAATGGCGGCTTTTCACTGAGCGATCTAATATATATTTCACACAGTTTCGTTGAATTTTCAAAGAATTGTGCCGGTTTCCTATGGATTTTACGTTGTGTCGCACTCTGGCCTTTCTTGCGTGTTGAATTAGTGTGTTTTTCTTTGTGTAACGACTCGAAAACCCCAAAATTTGGACCCAACGAATTTATACAATATAGTGGAATATAAACAAGGACAAGTTAAAGGTTTGACAGTTTGACTTTTTAATTAACAAGTATAAATATACGTTGTACGTAGGCTCATAAACATGCGTTGTGCTCTTGTATTTATTTGCATAATTATAAATTTGCACCTAATTACATTAATTTGCGCCAAATTACTTTCTAATTCATCATATATTACTATAAAATGTATGTTTTCGATTGTATTCAGCGAGGTGGCGTTGCGTGCGGCGAATTGAAACGTGATACGGTTCGATTTGTTTTTGGAACAAGATCCAACTTTCCCCCCACTTTTTTAATTCTCAAATTGTTTATTAGATGTTTACTGGTTGGGGTTAGAGAAGGGCTTTGGGTTGGGATCAGTTTATCTTACAAATGGAAGCAAATTGGCGTATTTTTTAGAAGAATCGTCTACGTCTATGAACTTTTTAGCACCTGAAACTAGCCATATAACGGCATTAAAAATCAAGGACTGTAATTTCTTCGCTGTTATTGGCCGTTATTATTCACGGTTGGTAGTTGATGATCATAGTATTACAGTGGGCCTGGCTTGTCTGAGCCGGCGTCTTGGTATATTATGGTTGATAGTTGCTGATCATGATTGTATTTATTGGTTGTATTTATATAATCCAGTATCCCTATGATCCTGTATCCCTATCTACTTCTCTACTACACATTAAACATAATAAAACACTCCTGCTCGTTTATTAAACAGTACTTAATAGTTAATAATTAATATACCTATTACCTGTCGCGATTTAGGATTTAGGAAGAGCGTGTTTGCGTTGGGTTTTAGGTTGGCCCAACCATTACTCTCGATTTCAATTTGCTTTTCAAAACTGACTTCCAATGTTTACTTGTAAATTCGAAATGTTCGTTGTAAAGTTCCGAAGTTTGTTTCGAAGTTCGTTCCGATGATTTACGATAAGGGACTGGTCATAAAGTAAAAGTGGGGGTGGGCTGGGAAAAATAGGGGGATGGGTCACTATTTTTGAGCAAGGTTGACGGGGTGGGTCATCGAAAGTTAAGTGCAATCATAAGGGTGGGCCATGTAAAAATGTACAGAAATTTTTTCAAGGGCATGTGTATGAAAATTCATATTATAAAAATAGAAATAGAACGTATCAGGATCCATGTGTAAAATTTATACCGCAAACTTTAACCTCAAACTTAAAAGCTGAATTTACCGTCTTAATGGCTAATACGTTAGCAGTGGCTAACTCATTTTCTGATAATCATTATTGCTAAATGTCACAAGCTTTGTGTAGGATGTTTGTTTTGTAACAAAATTAGTGTAATTTGTACAATAGTTAAATCACAATCATCGTTAGCTGTTTGGCGTTAGCTGTAAATGTCAAACTAAAGGTCTCTAATTAGCTGAATTCATATTAGAAGACGAATTTCTGTCTAAGACGGGAAAGTCGTGTGACTGATTTCCGTCTGGTATAAGTATAAAACGAAAACCATCGGACGAACAAGCCCGAAAAAATAAGAGACCCTCCATCCCAGTCTCTTTTGAACGTTACGAGCAGAAACCCGTCTTGATTCATTCGTCTGATATAAATTTAAGACGGATTTAAGACGGATTTCCATCTTGGGGAGGACATCCCCCCCCCCCCCCAGCGGAGGACATGGTCTGATGGTCCGGATCCCTCCTGTCGGCAATTTTGTCCACCTCCCCCCGTGAGATCCCAAGAACTACCTGCAGTAGGTGGTCAACCAGCAATTATGTATCAAAGTGAGAAAACGATGTTAAGTTGTTAACATTGCTGAATTTGACAATCATCTGCAGGCCTGTAACTAGCTATGAGTCCACCGAATCAGTTGACTCGGTAGGTCAGAATTTGGGGACTGAAATTTAAACATCGCCAGAAAGCTAAACCATGACTGAAATAATTTGCTCGTGGAACAAGGCATGAAATAGCATTTTAGGACGAAATTCTAGTTTAGTTTTTCCAAGCAAAGATACTCCAACGAGACCACCCTATTTTGTTCTTCAGTGACACTGAGAAGACGAATGCGTCGATTTCAAGTACTCCAATACATGTAATACAGTACTGTAGAATTTGAAGTGTGGTGAATGATAATACTATACCACACACACATTTTAATTACCGCATTATCACACCATGTTGCCTTATTGGGACTGGATTACATTTGGGAGACTGTGAAATTGCAGTAATTGTCACTGTTTATAAGGTCAATTTCTTGTTGGAAAACTCCTCAAAATGCAGGAAATAGCTTCTCTGAGCTTCAAAAAATCCAAATTTTTCGGAGCCGGGGTAATGGCCCCAGACCCCTCTAGAAGCTCGCACCTGGGGTGGTCGACTCGGTTGTCTCAGAATCCTAGTTACGGCCTGATCTGCTGCCTATGACGTATACTTATTAGTTAAACCATGCATATATATGCTGGTAGCTGCAATGATACAAACTTGCCGACTAGAACTTCTCCAGATCCCCCGCTAAATATGCCCTCTCCAGTTACACATCCTTAAAAGAATCCCTGAATTTTAATTGCACCATTTGAATAGCTATTGAGTATTGTAACACACTGAATTATTTGGCAACAGAAAAATATAACGCTGGTATCTTTCGCGTTTCTGAAAGGATGGGTCATGATTTTTCATCACCAATTTAAGTGTTGGCCACATATTTTCGTGCAGCTATTAAGGGGTGGGCTACCAAAAGTGCAGAGACCAAATATACTATTTTCCCAGCCCGCCCCTTTTACTTTATGACCGGTCCCTAATCAAAGTTTAGTAAGTTGTAATTGGCTAGTTAAGTGAACCATAGTTAATAGAGGAGAGGGTTTGGAAGCTGGGGGCGTGGCCAAATTATGTTATTGTTCTCTGTCACGTGACCATACGGGTGCATCAATCGGTGACTTTCGTAATATTGAAAAAACAAACAGTTAAATAATTGGAATGGTATTATTGAGATAACATGACATTAACATATAATAGAGAAATTAACATGAACATTCATTGCAGATAGATATACTAATAAATTTGATAAAGAACTCTTTAAATTGAACTCTTAGTTTAAAAAAAAATAAAAAATATATATTTAGGTCATATATATATTTTCTAATACAAAATTTGTACGTATTTATAGACTAAAAAAAGAAGGGTTATGCGAGTAATATTTTACACTTAATGTCTACTCCCGAGGGAAATTGTTTTGTTTTCCCAAGAGTTTCTCAATGTTTCCCAAGACGAAGTCGAGGGAAACATTGAGATTCAAGAAAAGATGACACATTCTCGTAAGTACTTGTATGGGTTGACGACATCATAGTAGCATCTAGTTCGATCCCTTCTATACATTGGAAAAACACGTCATTCTGACAATCGCCTTCAAATTTGAAGTAGTAGCCAGTTGTTCATCTTCGATAGTTAAGGTCACCACTACTCCATTCTGAATCACCCATAAGCTTGATATTGGAATTCTTAAAAAAGGTTAATCTTGCAAAAACACGTATTAAATAGAGAATAATACATGGGTGCGCGGAAATACCAGATATATTTCGAGTGTTGAACACGATATCTCACGAGTGAGCGCAGCGAACGAGTGAGATATCATGTTCAACACGAGAAATAAATCTGGTATTTCCAAGCACCCATGTATTTTTCTGTTTATTATATAAAGAACAGTCTTTGGAGAGCGATAATTTTTACAGAAAAGCGATAACTGAAAAGCGATAATTTTCACATGTGAAATTATGATAAGACATAAATAATCTCGCATGTGAGATTATCGATCCATTTTATCAGTGCTCGAAATCTCTATAAAGCACTATACTTTATATAATAAGATATCTTAAAGGTAAAATTAATCTAACTTTCCAATGCGACATATCGGGATTTTCAAGGAATCTTGACAATATGAAGAAGGTGGAGCTATATATATATATAAGCTGGGAAATAGAGACACAGGCGACAGTTGTGTTATCATCTACAGAGACAGAATATCAAGCTATGGCAGCAGCAGTGCAAGAAGCAATCTACCTGAGAGCACTAATGAAAGATTTGGGTTATCCAATAAAAGAACTAACTGGTATTGGAGAAGATGAGTCAGTGATGCACAAGCGTTCGAAACACATCGATACAAAATTACATTTCATCCGAGAAAAAGTTGAAAACAAGGAAGTAGGAATCCACTACATCCCAACTGAAGAGATGACAGCAGGCATTCTAACAAAGTCTTTACCGCGTGTTGAAGTAGAGAAGCGTTGTGTTTTAGGAGAACTTATCCAAGTAAACCAGACTCATCTTAGACTTCTTAGTGTGAAGCTGAGTTTGAGTGTTAAGACATACTAGTCGGGTATATACACATGAACATATAAGGATAATTGTTGACATTTATTGATAATTATGACACCTGACCATGACAGGTAAAACCGTACTTTTTAAATCGTTGTACTTTTAGTAAAATGCATATTCTTCGATAACACTATAAAAGTTAACACTATAGAAATTGATGTGCAGGTCGATAATTTTTTCAATTGCTACTGCCTTTGCTGCGAGTGGCACAACTTTGCAAAATGTATAACCTTACATTAGAGTGTTTTAAATTCACTGATAAATGCTTCAAATTTACTGATAACTCTTGGGGCCAAATGTAGTTTCCCAACCAGTCAATGTGTACGCATGATGGGAAAGTTAATAAAAATAAACTATGGCACGCCATATTCGAATGACTGATTTCCAGTGCACGTACATGGGGGTCCAGTGTAGGGTCATGGGTGTCCGTCTACAATAGAGACCTTACGATATGGGATGGCAATGTGACGATGACGGCTATTCATACAATGAGATTCATATTTTTTAAGAAAAGAAATAATTAATATCCTACAGGAGTTAGGGACGTCGTGCATGGTCTGTTTACAACGGGAAACTGCATTTCAAGACGCGAGAAGTGGTACTCAGCAAATTAGCTCAGTACTACAGCGGAACTTTCTCAACAATAAAGCCACTATTTAAAGCTAACCAAACAGTTTTAAATTAATATGATCAATAATATATAGTCCACAAATTTTCTTTACAATCGTTAATTTGAATGATTTTATTCTGGTCGTTGTCGTTGCCGTCCTACATCATAAGAGAGACCTTACGATTTTAAGACATGGGTTTTATGGTTGGAAAGAATTCTGCTGAACCCAGTTTGAAGTTGCACTTGTTGCGGCTTGAAATGCAGCCGTTGTATCAAGACGTGAAAATCTGTGATTTGGCGTTGTAAACAGAGCGAGGATAATGACTAAATTATTCATATATTGTAATTACTCAATTCTTTTCAAAGATTTATTGTATTGGTAGCCGTTGCCGTCGCGTTGCCGTCGTAAATCGTAAGGTCTCTAAAGGTCTCTAATAAGAAGCCGTAGTTCGTGTCTAACACTAGTTCTTACACTGTGGAAGTCAACCGTAAAAATTGACTCCAGTGGGAATTGAACTCGCATCTTTGGGTCTCCGGTCAGGCGCTCTATATGTTTATATTGAGCTATCCGCGGGCGAACAGCGACTGAACTTTCACACAACTAATCAGTATCAATGCGAGGATGTGCAGTGTTTCGATACTACAATAGAACCGTCTTCAGAGAAACATGAAGAGAATGGTTCTGTAATTGTGTCTGAGCTACCTGAAAAATATTAATCTCCTTGACGTTTTTGAGGCTCTTCGTTATGAGGCAAGGAGCCATGACTAACCTAGCTCACCATTCACAGTAATTTCAGAGACAAACATGAAAAACAAAAGTTATCTTCAATGCTTAATATATATTATCACACTTATAGAATAATTTAAACACTTGTAAATATATTATGAAGTTAGTAATTTGTGTAAAAAATTGCTCAAGCATAAGTTCCTAAAATTGTCAAGAACCAAGTTCTCAGGTTCTGATACCATTTTCATCTCCATATAGTAATTACGTTAGGGTATTATTTATAGGAGAATTATGTTTACAGTGGAGTTGTTTTTTTGTTCTAATTTTCGTCTGAATTGGAATCACATTATTTTGAAATCACTGCCAATGCACTCCTGGTATGATTACATCAGGTATTGAAATACTATTTTATACATATCTAAACAAGAATATCGGTACTGACATGTGTGGATCAATATATGGTTAATGTTTGCAACTTTCACAATCAAGCATGCATGCCAACATTATCCAAAAGGTTTGAGTCGACGCTTTTAATCGTTGTCTAAAATAAGGAAAGTGAAAACGACTATGGTAATTTATTGAATTAACTTTCCCTAACCAAAACGAATACATAGCTTCAAGATGAACAAAACGTCAAATATCTGGGGCAGCATGCGGAATTAGGCTAAATTGGCAATAATATTCAGTGCACATGCGTATCTCTCAATTGCTCATCGTCCACCGCGTCGACAACTTCACAACAAGAGTTTTGCCAATCTCGTACCCAGAGCCATCGTTGAGTGGCTCTGGGTACGAGATTGGAGTTTTGCCGTCATATAAGAGCATAACAAGCGGTAATGAATTCATGCGTCTCTTTAAAATTCGTTTTCGAATAGATGTCAATATTTGTAGTGAATCTTAAGCGGATGTTTATTATTTAGTACAACGTCCTAGTCCCCAGTCCTCTGCTCAGCCCTGACGTTTTAGCTGACGTCGACATCCAAGATCTTAAGCCATCTTTTATCAACAGATCAATAGGCAATTCCAGTTGTTATTTATGCGTGTAGGGGGTGACGGGAAGTAAGGTATCATATTGCTGATTATGCTGAAAAATCAGTTGATAAAAACTGCCAAAACAACCGAAATATTTCAATATTTAAAAGTATATAAGCTATCACTCCGTGTTTACACTCCGTGTTTTATTTTTTCGGCATAATCAGCAATATATAATGATACTTTACTTCCCATCCCTCCCTGCACGCATAAACTAAAGGCTGGAATTGCCTATAGCCTTGAACGAGCAATGGAAATGATCTTAACAATTTCAATCAATGCTATTGATCCCATAGACATACGAGTTGCCATAAATGAATATTTTGTACCATGTTGTGACGTTTTGTGAGACCGAGAAAATAGAATCTATATTTTTGAGTGTATAATAATTTTGAGGTAAAGCTTACTGTACCTTCGCAATACGCGGAATCCGCCATGACTAGATAGAGTATTTTTGGATAGAGATGTTCATATTCAGAACCGAGGAGATCTGAGATTTCTGGTGCTGGACCAACACCAATATCAACGTCATCTTCATTTTCCTGAATACTCTGATCAAAACAAAGATAAAGCATAGAAAAGAAAGATTGAGATCGTTGAACGCAGAGTGCAAGATTTATTTATTTTCCTGACTGAGATCTAGCCGTTCATAAAGGATTAACTTCAAAACAGATTTGTATATTAATCGCCGTTTATTTAGGCTTGGATAATCGACTTTTCTTCCTGGCAGCAAAATGAAAAATTAAACGAATTTTACAATAATTATATAATCATTGCCAGTCAGTGCATGAAAATGACAATACTTCACATGAAGTTGATCGATTTTATTAATGCCATCAAATATTTCTTCCGAAACGTAAAATATTTCCTGTGAAGATTTTTTGTCAAAACCTTCGGACATTTTCCGGCAATACTGCGTTATCAAGCATTTGCAGGTAAATCTTATGATGAGAATCCCAATTATATTTCGGGAACTCCGGTCGAAATATATGAGAATACTAGCGGTATGGCATTACCAATCTGTGCTTCACATCACATTTTAACCCAAAGAAATCTCTGGCAAAAAAACCCAACACCCCCCTGATCTGACCCGTCCCATAATCCTCCTGTGGCTTTTTTACCTTGTGCTTCACACGCGAACAGGTAAGCTTCAGGTAGGCTAAAATATTTGCTTTTTGACGTTTTTCCCTATTGTTTTTCATATGTTTTATGAAAAAGATCTCATTCACGCGATTCTACACATCGCTCTTCGAAGTCTAAAAAGTCTTCAAGCTCAACAGAGCAGTCAGACCATGCCAAAATTGACGAAGAAATGCTTCTACAGCTTCGTGCCATCTCATCTACAGTTTCAGATCTTAAATCTAACATGGAGGTGTGTAATAGAAGAATTTCCCAGGTCGAAGATGTCTTTACTAGCGAGAATATGACACATTCTCACCAGAGCCTTGCCGGGACGGCGACACGCTTTCGATTTTGGCGGGAAATGACAATCCTGAAAATCTTGAGGATTTGGCTATTGAGCCACCAGAGCAGGCTATTGAGCCATCAGAGCAGGCTATTAAGCCACCAAACTCTGCCGTACAGCTAAACACTAGCGATGATATTTGTGGCGACAGAATTGATCCTTCAAAACAACACTCAGTTGAACTCAGCAACGCTAGCGAAGGTCAGCCAGGTTTATACGACCCCGAAGCTGTTACGACCTCGTGGTCTCCATCTCAGGAGTTTAAGGATTTTTTAGAGAAAAATTTTCGAAGGAAACTATCCTTTGATCACATTTGTGATATTTTGGAGGAACAAGCTATTCCTCAGGTAGATTCCCTCGTTGCTCCTACTCTAGATCCACCAATGTTGTCTCATGTTTCATATCAAAATAAAAAGTTTGTGCAGGAGCGAGATAAAGAGCTCGCTGTTGTTCAACGTGCTATGTTGAACATCACAGGTCCATTATGCACATTACATGACCGTTTAGAAAACAACCTTCCTGTTAGCCCTACTGAGCTCAAGTTGCTTGTCGAACAATCACTCTGTTTAGTGGGTTCGGCTAACACACAATTATCGGTACTCCGCCGCAAGAAGGTACTTGCATCCATTAACAAATCAAAAATTGATTTGGCAAACCAGCCATTGCCAAACGCTCAACGATGGCTATTTGGAGACGATTTTCCCTCAATTGCATCTAAGGAAGCCGAGCTATCACGGGGTTTGGCAAAAAATCTGGCTCCTACGGCCCCCACAATTTATAACCAAGACCCGAAACAACCAAGCAGAAGCTTCTCTCAGTCTACTAAATACAATACTCAAAACAACAGGGGTCAATTTTCTCGTACACCCCAGTCTCGTTTCCAACGGCCCCCAAATTACCACACCACTTCCAACAGTGGCAGGTTCTGACAGCGGACCCATTTATTCTAGATGTTGTTGCCGGTTTAAAAATTCCTTTTTGTTGCGTTCCTGTTGAACAAAAAAAAAAAATGACTCAGGTCCGTTCAGAGTCAGAAACACTTATTTATGTAAAAGGAGGTGTCAGACCTGTTAACGAAGGGGGCAATTTGCAAAGTCCCCTTTGCCAAGTCCCCAAGAAGGACGGCGGTATGAGATCGGTTATAGATCTAAGCTCACTGAATCAATACATAGAAACATAACATTTCCAGATGGAACATCTTTCCTCGATAAAAACCTGCCTACAACAGGGGTACTACATGACAAAATTGGGCCTAAAGGAGGCATATCTTTCGGTTGCAGTTCATCCACAATCTCAAAATACTTTCGGTTCTGCTGGAAAGCCAAAACGTTTCAGTTCAAAGCAGAAACGGCGAACATTGTGTTGTCAAATCCTGAAAATCGAGAAACCTGCATTAAGGAGCATAGCTCAACTGGGGGGTCACTAGAATCTTACCGTACGGCAATCTGGAAGGCTCCTCTTCACTTTCGTTTTCTTCAAGCTCTGCTTATTCGCAACCTGCACACTTCAGATCACAATTACGAAAATTCAACTTCCATGCAAACAGAAAGCTGAAATCCAATGGTGGTTTCAGAATATTATGACAATCAATGGCAGCCCAATTACGGTGCCTCCCCCGGATGTAACAATTTTTCCGATGCCTCGAAACAGAGGTGGGGCAGTCACCAGCATTTATCAAACCGAGAAGTTGTTACACATCAATGTTCTCGAACTGAAAGCTGTTTTTCTAAGCCTGAAGTCTCTCTTGAAGAACTATCGTTCAATGACAGTGTCACTGAACATAACTATCGTTCAATGACAGTGTCATTGAACATGGACAATTCCACCGCGGTTACTTACATAAATCACAAAGGGGGCACCACCCGTTGCTATTACTAGAGATGATATTATAACTGTGGGATTGGCGCAAGCAGAGCGACTTATTTGTCATAGCCCACCATCTTCCAGGGAAGATCGACATTCAAGCAGACCTCGAATCCAGGCAGTTTCTGGACAACAGCGACTAGATGATCGAGCCCAAAAACTACACAGCCGTTCCTGAGGAACTGTCTGATGGATCTCTTCGCCTCTCGTCTAACACGACAACTAACAAATTACATCAGTTGGAGACCAGTCCCAGAGGCTCACCATTGGGATGTCTTCACGGTGAGCTGGAAGGGACTTGCGGGTTATGCTTTCCCTCCATTCAACTTGGTCCCCATGGTCCTCAAAAAGTCTTGTCGGACCAGACAGAGATCTTCTTGATAGCTCCAATTTGGCAAGCTCAGCATTGGTGGCCTCTTCTACTCAGTCTTCTGGTACAACATTAATTAACCTGTCCTGCTACCAAACAGCAAACATCTCTTGAAGGATCCAACCGACCCTTCCTTAATTCACCGATGTACCCACGTCTACTTTTGGGCGTATTTCACATCTCGAACGTTAGCAAACTACTCATTTTCAGCCACTCGTAGTTCCACACGCAAAACCTACGAATCTAATTGGCAGCGTTGGAGCCGCTGGTGTTCTACAAGGCAAATTAATCCAATTTCATCAACTTTGAGCAACGTCCTTACCTTTTTGGCGGACTCACTCGCCTCCGGTTTGGAATATAGAACCATGAAGACCATGAATGTTCTGAGATCTGCTTTGTCATCAACCCATCCACGAATCGACGGTTATCTAGTCGGACAACATCCATATGTTGTTAACCTGATGAGAGGTGTTCTAAACAATCGACCTCCAAAACCCAGATCCCTAACGTTCACCTAGTTGACTACAAAGACAACTCGTCCAGATGAAACTGTTTCTGCGTTTTATACTTGTTTCCCAGATGACAAAAGGTTATGTCTGATAGCTTGTTTCCAACAATACATCTCAATGACGGTTGAATTTAGAAGAATTATGAAGGACCAACCTAAGTTGTTTCTTTCATTTATTATACCTCACCGAAACAATTTTATTATAGACCAATGGTATCAACACCAAACTTTGGTCGTGTTGGGTTAAACTAATTGTAAACAGGTCTTTAGACTTATTGTATCTACAGAGCTAAATAATAATGTTCTTTTTGGCGGTTCACCAGTGTAGTGTTAAACTCTACCGCTAGTATTCTCATATATTTCGACCGGAGTTCCCGAAATATAATTCGAATTATACTAGGGCTGTTCCAGCCTGCAGGTATAATTTAGGTTATATGAGGGAACGAAGGGAGAAATATATGATTCCCACCCTTATACCCGCCCAGTTCATCTCAGGGTTAAATAAGCCACAGGAGGATTATGGGACGGGTCAGATCACGGGGGTGTTGGGATTTTTTGCCAGAGATTTCTTTGGGTTAAAATGTGATGTGAAGCACAGATTGGTAATGCCATACCGCTAGTATTCTCATATATTTCTCCCTTCGTTCCCTCATATAACCTAAATTATACCTGCAGGCTGGATCAGCCCTAGTATAATTCGAATTATATACAATGGGTGATCACTTGGTAAGTAATTTTTATACCTTTGTTGTGGTCTGTGTAGATGGAGGCTATTTTGGCAATAGCCATGCACTTAGACATAGCATGACCAGTCCATATGTGGACTGCCTATGTCTATTAAACATGATTGAATACCCAAATTAGATTCAAGATTATGATATGTCCCAGGCATGGATCCAAAAATGACCATGTACTGAAGTTATATGGCATGAGCCATGTAAAATATGGTGGGAAACATACAATTGGGGCTGCATCCCACCATAATGCACTAGTCAATTGAAACCCTGACCCCTGGGATAGGGAGGGGAAATTAACATTTTCATAATGTTAAATTTTGGACATTTCCCTGCTACCGGGAGAATATTGACTGTTAAAATTACTGTCCCTATGTCCCCAGCACTTTGCAAATTTTCATGACTTGGGAAATTTTCATGACTTGGGAATTGTCCTGGCTAATAAATTGACTTGTTATTTACCCTGTACCCCGGGGGAAATCTGCATTAAGACCGTGTTAATCCACGCCATTCCCCCGTTAATTCCCCGCCCTGTCCCGGGGGTTGGGGGTTTCAATTGACTAGTGCATGCATAAACATTGCAAAGGTCCATTTTGTGAATTAATGGCACTTATATGTATTTAATCTTAATTTATAGGGCCTGTGAGTTCATATCTGGAATAAAATAATGGCAAATCTACAGAAATATCACTGCTAAGGAGTGTCAAACAAATTCAGGAGGACTGAATTAACTGGATGTTCTCAGGATGAAAAAGAAATTGTTGAATTTAATTGAATAATCATTATCATTAATTAATGTAAGGTTAAAAATATTGAACATTCAAAAGGATGCAGACAGAAAATTGAAAGTAGGGCCTGAATTTCAGGTTAAGTGATCCAGGAATGGGGTCGGCCCTCTGAAGGCTAAATCAATTGAGGGAGATCCCTTTATTTCAAGTTAAATGATTATTTGAATAAGATGCCATTCAGGCAATAAGGGCCTGGTTAGGTCCATATTTTAATTCAAATTATTAACTACTCGATTTATCCATCAACAAAACCCAACATTAAAATTTCCATCGAGTGAGATGCAACAAAACCATCTATAGTTTATTAATTATGTTAACCTAATCCATCAATTGGCAATGAGCCTACTTTAGTAATACTTTTATATACTCCATCTCTAATTATGCCCATTATATTTATAAACTGACAGTTAATACTATTACTCTTTCACATACTAATAAAATCATCTGGGCCCGGTTGTTCGAAGCCCGTGTAAGCCTTTGAAATACCGGCCCCAGATGATTTTATTAGTCTGTGAAAGATTAATTATTAACTGTCAGTTTATAAATATAATGGGCAAATATATGATTATGTACAAATTGCATGCATGGTTCATAAAATCTCTGTGATAGACTTGCTCCAGAAGATTCAAATTCCATCCTGACAATACCTAAATAATAATTATAGAGGTTGCAGTGTTGCACTACCTTTTGCTAAAATACTGCCATTGTTTACCAGTATTTAATATGAACTCAAAAGTCAAAACACTTAACACTATGGAGTATTTAGATTTATAAATAGCACTTAGTATTTTATAAACCTTAATTGCATATAAAATAGTTTATAGTTATTTTACCTTTGCACTTTTACTGTAATTATCTCTTTAGTTTGTATTTGTTCACTAATCTGTATTTTCTTATTTCAAAATAAACTGAATTTCATATCAAGAAGCGAAGTTTGTCTGTTTGTGTGCTTGTTTAAAGGCACAGTTCAGCCTTCTGAGTGATGGTTTTTATGGCGCATTACAAGACTTTTAATTGAAAAAACTAACTAGGAAAATCAATTAAGCATAATTCAAAATCAGTGAACTCAATGTTAAAAAACATTAGAAATGTTTAAAAATGTTAAAAACATTGAAATCACTGATCTTGAATTGTGCTTAATTGATTTTCCTAATTAGTTTTTTCAATTAAAAGGCTTGTAATGCACCTTAAAAACCATCATTCAAAAGGCTGAACAGGCCCTCAGTGAAATTCTGAAATTCATTCATCTAAACTTTCGGCTGATACAGTGATAGGTCCCGTGACGTGTAGTGCCCACATAACATGAAATTAATTATGTTACGTCTGACGCGTAGAAATTTTTAAAATGCCCGTTGTCACTACCCACGCTGACACAAACCGTTCGAGTGATAATTCCTAGTCTCCTAGTCCTAGACGATAATCATGATTCATAATATTATTTTTTGAGTACCGCTAACTTTAGTTCGTGACTTCGTGTTGTTTTGTGTGCGTGATCAGTGGTTTAAACGCGGCTGCTACTAAAAAGCGTCAAAAAACGATAAGGGAACCGAAACCTGGAACTGCGCATAATATTTACAAATTATCGCACTTAATCACCGTGGGATTTTTTTCAAATATATATCTGAGAAATATATGCCGTAAAAACGCAACAATAAAAAGGGATCGACCAAATGATTTGACAGTGTACCGCGTGGGTGTAGCGAGGTGTAAAGCTATAAGGTCGCCAAGGCTAAGTACTTTCCCAAAGAGTGTATTTGGAGTCAACAATTCGGTCAAATATAAATACGCGTTTAGTACACATAACATACATGTATTTGGCACCAATGAAAAAGGAACAATTTGCACCAATTTGTACAGAACATGAATATATGCATGCTGGCATATCGCGGTATATTTATCTTTGTTTATATTTTTATTAAGCAGATAAATTCAGAAAAATAAACAGCATTTCTTTGTTACAGTTGATTTCACGAAAGTTTGGCCGCGCCAGTTGCGAGGTTGGTTGGGAATTTGGGAACTATAAACACGAGATCATCAAGTTGATTGGAAACCGGCCAATCGAATTCGGAAGTTTCGCATCAAATTATCGAAATTCGTTATGAAATTCTGAACCAAGTTCGCAAGCAAGTTCGCAAATTGCAAACGATTTTGGCGGTAAATTTTAAAAACTAAACTTATTGTATTTATAAACTTATTCATTTAATAATAAATAATATCATAATAATAATAATTTCAGGTTTGAAATTGTAATAAGTTTAATACAATAAGTTTAGTTTTTAAAATTTACCGCCAAAATCGTTTGCAGTTTGCGAACTTACTTGCGAACTTGGTTCAGAATTTCATAACCAATTTCGATAACTTGATGCGAAACTTCCGAATTTCATTGGCCGGTTTCCAATCAAATTGATGATTTCGTGTTTGTAGTTCTCAAATTCCCAACCAACCTCGCAATTGGCGTGGCCAAAGTTCCGTGAAGTCAACTGTAATTGCTCTTCAGGTATCCAAAGAGAAATCCAATCTGCCAAGATATCGTATCGTTCGTTCCATTTAACGCATTTTATCTTCCAACTCATACATGCAGTAAGTTATAACAACAAAACAAGGAATTTAATTATTTTTCAAATGACGTCACCGGCACATTTCTGTGAATTTCACTGCCGTAAGCAGGCTGGAAAAGTCCTTTTCAAAAGAGGAACCACGCGAAATAAACGTGACGTCTTTGAAAAGGACTTCTTGTTGTAGCACTGGGCGAGAGTTCCCTGATGTCATCAGTGATGAAGAGTCACGTATTCATCCATATAATGAGGGCTAAATCATTAATATAAAGCGACTAAGAAACCGCTAGACTGTTAAGTCACACCACAGCACAAATCACAATGACAAGAATATTTCTCGTTATTTTGTTTGCATCTCTGCCTACGAAACGTGCACAGAAAGGTAAGAAAAGTTTGCCTAAATATAATATAATTCATTTCGTTTTCACCCCGGTGTTGTGAAAGCTAATAAGCTCAATATAGTTTAGTTACGGTAGTTTAATGAATAGTTAGCAGACCTAGAAAGAGTGTTTAATGTGTCTCGCGGATCCTGAATTTTCCGTTTCCAAATGTTCCTCAAAAGTTCGTAAAACAGTGGAACTGAATATGATCGTACAATAATAAGGCCCGGCCGGGTTTATAGATGGCGAACTTTTTATGCGCTGAACTCACTGTCGAACCTATTAAAACGATAAGGTATACCACAAAAGAGCGCGTCTATATAAATTACGTTCGATTGAAGCCGTCATGTCGTATTTTGCGACACAGGTTGGACATGGATTTATACTGAGAGGGTCTTCACCGTTAATCGGAATATATATATATATATATATATAATTCAGTCAAGGTTTGAATGTTTGCGTCGACGCAAACATTCAAACCTTGACTGAATTAATTCCGCTCTACTTATTATGGTATTGAGCGCTCTTCTACCTTACGTCAACTCATCGACTATTTTTTTGAATATAGTCTTCAGTATATATATATATATATATATATATATACATATATATATATATATATATATATATATATATATATATATATATATATATATATATATATATATATATATATATATATATATATATATATATATATTTCGCATGATATATGTATTGATATTCATGAATCTTTCCAACGGCAGCCGTAGTTGGGATTTCAGATATGAAAGAATGTTACCTGAACAGGAACTTAAATGTTAAAATGTACATACCTTCAATGTATTCATTATATATTCATGTGTGACTCGCATATTTTGGGCGCCTCGCAAGTAGCAGACCCAAATAGGACACATGCAATATCCGTCTCTCTGAAGAATTTTAATACTGCACGTAGCTATATAACTAACTATTCTTTCAAGCTTGTGGGAGAGTACAGACATTCTGTCTGTAGGAATTGAAAGATTTTGCAGCCCTTTCTCTGAACAAAGAAAATTAAAAACAAAATACTTCCGCCGTTTATTATAAAAAAATACTTAAGCCTTTTATTTATGTGCATGAAAAGCTATATATAGGAAACCTTAGCCTGCATGTATGGACCATTTGCATTATAGACTAAATTTTGATCTAGACAAAACTTTCATCACAGCTTGAAAGAGCATCACAAAATTAGTAATATTCCAAAGTTTCGTTGCGAAATGTTGTAAAATGCGGATAATATAGCCTTGCGAAGTTTGCCGTTTTTCAGTCATTTTGTATTACGCACGGGAAATTGACAGCCCAATCGGATGTTGGGGCATCAATTTCCCGTTTGTAATACAAAATGACTGAAAATTGCAAATTTCGCAAGGCTATATTATCCGCAATTTACAACATTTCGCAACGAAACTTTGGAATATTACTAATTTTGTGATGCTCTTTCAAGCTGTGATGAAATTTTTTTCTAGATCAAAATTTAGTCTGTAATGCAAATGGTCCATTAAGGTTGTCCCCGAGCAAAGCAGAAAAGTCGAATACGAGCGCGAAAGGCTGCTGGGAATCGCTATGAAAATTCATTAATTTTTTAGCGATTCCCAGGAGCCTTTCGCGTTCGTATTCGACTTTTCCGCTTTGCTCGGGGGACAACCTTAATTGAAATAGCTGTATAATACATGTATGCATATATATAGCCCATTGTCAGTTCTAAAGTCTTCTCCCTAAAGAAAGGTTCAGTAAGGACAGTATATAAGAACTATCTTTCATTGGTCCAGTGTGTTACCAGCTACAGGAGGAAACTTTAATTAAACCAACTTTATAAACCAAGAGCGCCTGCTTGCTGTATAACTTTCTGTATATATACGTTGGTGAAAAGAATCAACAATACTATATAGTTTTTGTGCATTATTTCATCATTTTTGAACCTTTAACGAGACACTCGCTTACAATGCCATAGGCATAGATTTATTCATTTACAAATTAAATGAAACTAATAAAAAATAACGAGAACGAAAAAAGATAAGCTAGAAAAATTAGTTGTCCAATGAACTTATTTTACAGTTTTATACATGTTCTTTCTGCCTAAAATGATCGTTGCCAATGCATTGCAGTAAACTCTCCTGTTTTCATGGCCATGCCCATGACAAGACTTTGATACACATTCAGGAAATTATACGCCAAAGCTAAACAAAGATTTAAAGAACTTTCGAAATCTTTTTATTTGCCGTAATTTGGAGATAGAAAGATACTATTAGCCGTTCTCAAGCATTTTGTGGGATTTTTTCAATAATTGGTGTATTTTGCTTTTTAAAGATATTTCGTTATCTTGATACCATGGTTATAAAGCACAATAAGATCCGCCTTGACCTTGTAGGTTCGCTTGGTAAAAATAAATATAATTGTTTTGTTTCGTTCATTTCTTTATATCCGCTGCTTTCGACCCAAGTCCATTGGTGCTATAATAATTTAATACACTGGTGAAGATCCATGCAGGCTTATGCATCAGCACGAAAACTGGGTACATTTCCAAATTACTTTGATGATAATATAATATCGGAGAAAACGAAGATTTGTACCAAGTTATTGTTGTAATGCCTCGTTATGTTGGAATGCTATATGCAATATAGCGCGAACCTCAATCTTGATTTTTGTTACTATACCACCTAAAAACCCAGTCATAAATATTTGGGCTACTTGCAGTAGTTAAGGGTTTATTTTCTCAGTTACTCATGCCCTGTATATGCCAGTTCACCCCCATCTTGCTTCCTGTGCAATTCTTTGAGCCTCTGTTCTATCCAAACAATATCATGTTGCCTACATATTTGCCAAAGATGAGAGACAAAGAACAACACTGAAAATGATGAGTTAGAGACCGTTCATTATTTATACCCTAGAGTGTGTGTGTGTGGGGGGGGGCATCATAAAAGTTCACAATTGCTTTTGTTGGAGTCTTGGGGAGCAAGGGAGGTGTTAAGAAAACAAAATAGAAAATTGTGGCCCCTGTTTAAATGTGAAAACCGATTCTGTGGAATTGGAAATTTTTGTCAAATATGCATATGGAAGTTCTGGATTGTGTAAAATTCTGTGCATAAACAAACATTCCAGCTCATATGGCTCTTATGTTAGAAAATGTGTTTTCTTCATAGTCCGGACTCTCACTTAAACGATGACTAGAATCACATCATGTGTAAATGTCTGATAGGCAGATAGGACTTGTACTTTTAAATATCTAGGGCGAGCATCACAAATGCCCCGGGGAGTCACATGAGTTTTTACTATATCATATAAGAATTTCCCTCTTCACCCCTGGCCCAGGGTATAAATAATGAACAGTCGCGCCTATAACTTCTTAAATACATGGACAATGACTTTTTCTCGATGGTTTACAAATGTCCGTTTATTAAGATTGTAAATTCGGAATTAAACTTTTTCTGCAATAAAGCCTGTATGGTTACATATAAATGCGATATGTCCGTGGACTATTGTCGTTATAGCAGTTCAACCAAATAATTCACAAAAGAGTGTATATGCATCAACAGCTGTAAACAATGATAGCGCAGACATACCGCATTCAGGATATGTGAACCAGGCTTTATACAGCAGATGAACCATTAATTCTATTCTCAAACGACTTCTAGCAAAAGGCTCCTGTCGGAATGCAAACTGGCGGTCAAGTTTCGACAGAACTGGCTGGTCAAAATGTCCCGCTACATTTCCTTACATAAATGGTTTGTACAGGAGCAGTGTTTCACAGCCAAGTCGTGACTATATTTATCTTCTGGAACAAGCCAAATGTTGTGGTAATGGAAATTCCAATGCTGAATGCGTGCAAGCTGATTGGGTTAACAGCTTTGATAGGTAATACTTTTGCTCTATAAATTAAACATTTTTTTCCATTTTCGTCTTTGCACACAGACCTAGTGAGAGGTGCCGGTAGTGATAATGTAATCTGAAGCTTTATTAAAGAAATAGCCGTAACTTTGCGTAAAGGCTAATTTCCACTGCGGAAAATAAGCAGCGGATCGGAACAAAACAAAATCCGCGCATTCGCCATCAGTATAAATTATTGATTCCGATTGTCCGGCGACGTTGCTGGCCAGATAATAAAAAGTTTAAATATTTTCAACTTTCTTTGGTCCGGTCCCGCGGATTAAACCTGGCGACCAATCAAAATGCCGCATTATCTCACATAAATTAAAATAATTAAATACCTGTACTAAATTTATAAAATTGTGGATGTGAGACTGGAACGAGCTCCATTTTTTTTTCCTTTTCCGATAACATCATTCCACTTGTTTTTTTTTACTGAAAATCACTTGTTGGATCGGACAGGATCGGAAAAACTCCGATCCGGTCCGATCCGCTGCTTATTTTCCGGTGTGGAAATTAGCCTTTACGTCTGTTTCAAAGGTCGCGCTTCTCATGTGCTGAATGCATTAGAAACAATGGATAATGAGGCATTTCAGCTGATTATCTATTGTTTTAAATGCGTTCGGCACATGAGAAGGGCGACTTTTGAAGCAGGTATGTATGCTGAAGTGGTACACATGATGAAGTTGTTTTGGGCATTCAGGTCTATTTAATTATATAAGATCGAAGGCGCACCCAGCCGCTCTGTTTCGGTTAACATTTTGGACAAAACAACTGCGATAAAATTGGTTTCAAAAGAAATTTTTAGTATTATCAGGAGAAAAGTCCTACCCTCGGCATTAGGCCTTCTTATCCAATTTTAGTTTTACAACAAGACACATTTTGAACCACCAGTTGGTATAACGTTGCCATTGCTTTTTTTTTTTGGGGGGGGGCGAAATTTTGTTATGTAAAGCGAAGCACCTTCATTTTTAATTGAACGGCAAAGGACGGCCAGAAATTGCACAAAAAATGGCCATGTCGCTGAGTATTTATTGCATGGTATCATTGCCTCAGTCAAATATTTTGTACGTGTTTAGATCAAATTTTCGATATTCCAGAGCCCGAAAAACTATGAACACGATTTGATCTTTATTTTGATCTATAATACTATATGCAACAAAATACAGCTCCAATTGTGAGTGTTCTTCATTATTCCTTTTCTTAACCTTAAAATTCCACTACCAAGTAAAAAAATTGCCGACATTATCTCGAAATAATTTAGTACTTCGCCTCATTAGTGAATTTAAGCAATTTACATATTTGTCGACACGGACATCATCCGAAAATTGGTCTAACTAATCTTGGCGGCATTTTTGATTTTTGCATCGTCATGAGTAAAAAAGCAAAAACTTTAATATCGCACGTTCTGTCATAATTATGTGTTGTAGACTACCACTGTACCACAAATTGATACAAACACAGTTTTTAGTCCAGTCCTTCCCCGGCAATCTGATGTCCGTATAAAAACGTCGCTTGTTTAAGCTCCCTAAGGCGTAAAAAAAAATACCTGTGGTTCCGGTTTCATATCGTGAAAAAATTAGGGTCGGTAGGTCGGAAATAAATTGAATTGAATATTTTTTTCATGGTTTTGGTGGTTTTTTGCTGGGTGATTTGCAGTAGAGTCCCGACATCAATATTAACTAGAGATGCGTATTTCCTACGGACGAATTTAGGCAATTTGGTTCAATAATTAGTGTGACAACAGACGCCATTTTGGCACGCTGTATGAGCAGCCACCGTGAGCAGCCCGCAACCACCTGGAGAAAATAAGGTCGTACGGCCAATCGCGCTGAAAAATAATAGGGTCGGCAGAAAAAAAATAGGGTCGGTCGGGAACCGGAACCACTGGTATTTTTTTTTACGCCTAAAGCCCAGGTCACACTACACAACGATAACGATACGATAACTTGTATACGCGCGCTGATTGGTCAAAAATTTATCGTTATCGTCCGGTTGAAAAAAAAAATCGCTCAGGTGAGCGATTTTAAAATCGTTATCGTTATCGTCTAACGATAATTTTATCATTTTCGTTGTTGTGTGGACACTAACACAATTTTTTTGCCAATTATCGCGTGTTTACAATTTATCGTATCGTTATCGTTGTGTAGTGTGACCGGGCCTTAATGCTCTGTTAAGATAAGAAAGGTCATCTTAGCTGTGGGTGTTTTTTTTCCACCGTTACGTCATGTGCAAGTGAAACAAAAATCTTTTTAGGGTTTATTTTAATTTTTAATTATTTTTATAGAAATAATAATTGGAACTTGTGTCCATCAGGATATTATTTGTCCGGACTTTATCGTTCAAGCGGTAATAATCTCAACAACATTGAGCATGCATGGTGCTGTAAACCTCGTGGAGCTCCTAATTTCAACAAGTCATGTTACAATGAGGACGTTTGGTCGAAATTTGACTGGAATCAACAAGGGATGGTGTCATGTACCAGATCTGGTTATTATATCACTGGCATGTATCGATCTTCCTGCGACTATATGTATTGTATTGAAGAATTCAAATGCTGCCAATTGCAGATTAAAGAAGGTGGGTGAATTAGATAATACTGTAAGAATCTTTTACCGATGAATTACTCATGGTAAAAATTAATAGATTCCAACTGTCGACTATTTCTGTATTTAGACAAGAAAGACGAAATCTATCGTTATAGCTCAAAAGAGCGTGGCGGCGTTAGACACTAAAAAATACCTTCCTTACAATTACGTCATTATATCAATGTCTCGTTCTTTTTAAAACTCACTGCGTAACCAGTGAAAAATATAGCTACCTTATAATTACGCAATTATTATACCAACGACTCATTCTACTTTAAAACTCACCGCGTGGCCACGTAGCCACCAATATTTCTCGCGGGTCTTCGAAAGTGGACGGGTATCTGCAATCGCTCCTTTAAAGATGTTCTTTTATTAAAGCTATAGATGATAGATTTCGTCCTTCTTGTAATAAGCCAGAACAACCTCATACTCCTATTGTTAATTTATATGTAAACATTAATTAATACTCTCCCCTCTATGTAGTAAACCCTTTCTGCCTCGATTAGCCTCATTGCTGCCGAGCATAGCGAGGCAGCTCCCTATTCTTCACATTACATGACGTTCTTGCTTTTTCGTGCCCCGGCCGAGTTATATTGGGGAAACAGTACTGCCGAGCGCAGCGAGGCAGCACACTATTTGTTTCAATATATCAAAATCATCCTGCCTCATGCATATCTCGTCCTGCTCATATCTACTCGTCCTGGCAAAGCGGTATCATCAGCAGCCCCTTGCGCATGCTGCATTTCATTCCTTGGGGGTGAGGCAGCATTTCCTTGCGATAGTAACTTCTAGTATAAGCTATATGCCAGAAATTATGTTCCTAATTGCAGTACAACCTCATAATTATTATCAGGGCCTGGCCGGCCAATTTTTCGCTGCCATATTTAAAACAAATTGGCAGGCAGGCCCTGGGTACTAGTTTAATTGCAGAAATGTTGCCTAGTGTGGTATGCACGGCCATCTGGGTGGGGGGCAGGAAAGGGGGGCAAATAAGGCAAACCAAAGTACAAAAAAACCCGAATATCCCTAATAAATCCCGGACATGACGTCATTGTGGGAAGGTGGAAGAGGTGTTAAATGGCTATGTAGCAAACCCAACTCTAACCAAATCAAGAAAATCCAAAAATAATCAACTTGAAAAATTGAGAAAATGACGTAAGTTTGATGGTTGGAAATGACTCAAATGAGTGAAAACCGTTCATGGGTGGACCTTCTACTGATCTCAAAAATTTGGTGATTGTCAGTAGTGGAATGCATCAGTTGGGATTGAAAAACATCAATGAGAAACCGTACTTAGTAGTACGTTGTATGTATTAAGATATACATGTTATTGACTTAGCGAGAGGTCTGGACTGTATAGTATATTAGTTGAACTGTAATATTTTGCTTTCTTGATTCTAACGAAAAAAGAATGAGTAGGGTTTCGGGTTTTACAAACACCCGAGGGTAAAGACCCTGGCTACGAGGTTGGTGGTTGTTTAGCCGCAGTACACTGTTATGGTAGTGGTGTTGAGTTGACGACTCGCCACGCGCGAACTCTCATATTTGATATTTTTTGTTTTCGCTAGTTTGTACCTCTGTATCTTGTCTGAACGGTGGATTTTGTTTGAATGGTACATGCAGGTAAGCGGTTAGGGAAATTGCTACAATCCTGGACAAAACCATCTGCGACACTCTATTAAAACATTCCTTTGTGGCTTTTTTTACCAGTTAGACCGGAATAATTTACTCGTTTGCCCCCCTCCGCCCCCCCAAAACAATGTTGGACGTTTTATCCGTATTCTACGAATCCAATCAACATTGAATGGTGGGGGAAAGGGGGAGGTTTTCTAAATTTACGATAACATTACGATATTTTGTCCAGTATAATTGGAAGTGTCGCAGATGTTTTGTCCAGGATTGTAGATAGTATACTTCAAAATAAGATTTCCGTTTTTATATCATTTTTTAAAATAAGTTAAGGTTAGGTTAGGGTTAGGTTAGGGTTGGGGTTAGGGTTAGGGTTAGGGTTAAGGTTAGTATTAGGGTTAGGGTTTAGATTTGTGTTAGGATGGTTTTTTCTACGTTATAAATACGGAAATCTTATTTTGAAGTATACCATCTAGCAATTACCGTAAGCGGTTAGCCTGTGTACAGCCGTAAATTCTCCCGTAATTAATTACGAGAGAATTTACGGCTGTACACAGGCTAGTAAGCGGTAAACCAGGCGTTTTGTTATGTGTGAGTATTTTGTGTGTACGTGTCAGTGTCAAAATCGGATAATTGTTTTGAATTCTTATTTCAATCTCTAAATAGCCAGGCATTCTGGAATTCAGCGATTTCGCGGAATTGTCAAAATCGCGGATTTCCACGGAATTCGGTTTAATTCGCGGAATTTAAACTTTGGTAAAGTATTTTTATATTTTTCCTTAAATTCACGAAAAGACACATTTGTGTGATCTGATACAAGATGTTTTTGCAAAGTTTAAAGCTTTACGAAAGGAAATGCCCTTCAAAGTGGAAGGACTGTCAAGGATATTCATCATTTCACTATAACCACTAAGATTTATTAGCATTTTAATTTTTTAATTTCTAGTAATATTTCTGCAATTGCACTTCCGGTTTACACAATATAATGTCATTTACGATCTGTACCTTTGGTTCGTGAAAAAGGTCGATAATGTTTGAGATGACAATTCAGTTTTCGATGATTGGCAGTGGCAAAACGTTAGCAAAAACCAACGCATTGTGATTGTTTCTATTTCGGCTTCTCGAACTTGCTGTCACACGATACTTCGATTAAGAGCCGCAGATTGAAAATTGGTACGGCGCTTATTCGGGGACGGCGCTCAAACGAGTAATTACAGTTTTCACATCAACTATGTACGGTCCGCTGTTTTGTTTTATGTTGGGACTCACTGTATAGTAAATATGCCAGATTTCTTGTGAAACCGAAAACTTTTACTCGACTTTCTAATATATTTCTTATTATCTAAATTGAAATGACCCTAGAATTACTGTTTATAGCGGTAGATACTGATATTTTTTGCCTAAAAACATCTGAATTTTTTCCGCAGAATTTCTCATTTTGGCTGCGAAATTGACGTCAAAAATTCTGCGGAATTTGCTATTTTTGCCCACAGAATTCCAGAATGCCTGAATAGCTTTAAGGTTCGATGAAGATATTACTATTTAAGTTCATTCAAAGTTACCAAACTATCTAACAATTCAGTATTATTAATTATTCCAAGCAGTACTGTAAACCTCAGAATTAAGCCCACCCGAGTATAAGACCCCCGTTAAAAGCCCACCATATTCACAAACGCTCAGGCCATATTTACGAATATAAGCCCTCCCGAATATAGGCCCTTCCATGTTGTATATGTTTATTATTAGACAGGTTTAATAGATAATTACTGAGGCCAACGGCGTTATTCGATATATTGCAGCCAGCTGAGGCCGAAGGCCGAAGCTGGCTGCAATATATCGAATAATGCCGTTTGGCCGAAGTAATTATCTATTATAATTACTGACCCGAATTAAAAGTAATTATTTTCGGCTGGAAGACTACGTTGCTGCTTGTTGGGACCGTATGACAATGAATCTATCCAACGTTACACTAGACATTTGTGAGGACATGCATGTAATGCATCGTGATCATAGAACAGATTTCAGTTTAATTAATCGCCCTAAATTAAAATCTCCACAAGCGGAGGTCAATTATAGAGTTCTAGTTTACATATTATCATTAATGATAAGGTTAATTCAAAGAGGGTATTAAACTGGATAAACACGGGAATAGAACTTATGGTGTGTTCTGCACATGCGTATATCTAGGATAAAATCCCACAAGCGCAAACGAAACTATTTCTCTATAAAGTTGAGCTGAAAGGACTCACAGTGACTAGTGATGGGCGATACCAGCTTTTTTGGGTTCGATACGATACCAGTCCGATACCATGAATTTTGGTCGATACCGATACCAAAATCGATACCGATACTCAATTTTTTCCATTTATTATAATAACGTTTAAAACAAGAACATTAATGTTAACAAGTCAAAGAATACTCTAACTGGAGTACCTACCAAATAATCGAACATAACATTTGCAATTATGATTTTAAATCTAAACAATATCAATGTGTTCAATGTTTTTCTTCAATGTATTGCTAATTGGCTACATGTTTTTGTTAAAGAACAGCATCATGTCAACATTTATTGCCTTCAGTTTGTTGCCTTCATGAAGAATTAAGCGATTTTTCAGTAATACTGACCAAAAACATCGCAGGCTCAAGTGGTATCGAATGATTTCGATACTTTTTCGATAGTATCGCCCATCACTGTCAGTGACCGTTTTGGCAGTGCTTCAGGCGCCCGATGATATTGTATGAGGGGCCTTTAGCACTGTCAACTTCTCATCTTGAGATGTTCACGTTATCGCATGTACTTGTCAGCATGACGAAGGATTGCGAATAATGTCTGTGTGCACTGATACACGCTGCATTATTTTTAATAATGCTGTGTGCACGCTGCATTATTTTTAATAATGCTGTGTGCTATTTTAGCCCGTATAAACATTTACCCCTGGGAATTTCCCTACAATCAAAAAAGACCGCTCCCGTTTTTCAGAAGAACGCTAAAATTTCTCGACATTCGCTGATATAATGCAGAGAGAAAACAATAGGTTATTATGGCCGTCAGTAATTATATTGAGTTAACGCAGCACGACTAGCCTGCGAACAGGCTCTCAAGCTGAATTGAGAGCCTGCATCGATGACTAATGAATTTGAATATCTGCGTCTCAAATCGTGACGCGAAATTCTCATTGGTCAGATGCTATAATTTATATGTTTCCACTGAGCTCTATATATGTCAACTGCTAAGCACTATGCATAAAAAACACATTAACTGATCAAATTGGTCTTGGCCATCTTATCTCAAAGCACGAAATGTTCTGTTTTGAGAAAACAGTATTTAAAACATTTAAAGTTTTGCTTCAATATCTTATATTTCGAAAAACAGTATAAACTGTACGGTCTAAATTTAGTTTGCATAGTCTAAATTTAGTTTGCACGAAAGTTGTAAACAACACCATATAAGGATAGACATTCCACATTTGGAAAAACGAACGTTACGGGGCAGATATTCAAATTCATTAGTCATCGATGCAGGCTCTCAATTCAGCTTGAGAGCCTGTTCGCAGGCTACAGCACGACGGGAATTCCAACAGCTCAGCGGACAAATGACAATAATGACATTATAATATTATTTTAACCAACTTGTTTTATGTATAGATACTATAGATTATATACTGTTATTATAGTATATATTATATCACGATATAGTTTTATTTACAGGTACAATACATATTAATTATTACTGACATCAACGGTATTTTCTAGTAATATTGTAGTGTATAGTGTAGAACTTGATTACTCTCTCAGCATGCTTCTGAAATTTTATACACAAACCTCAGCCAGCTCTCATGATGTTATAACATTTTTAACAGCTGCCAAAGTGGCTTCACTGGGAGCCGATGTGATGTGGACATTGACGAATGTGAAGAATCTCCTGGAATATGTCAGAACAGGGCAAATTGCACTAATACTAATGGTTCGTACGCATGCACTTGTACAGCTGCATACACGGGAAGAAACTGCTCAATAAATATCGATGATTGTAAGACGTATGATGGTTCATCAAAATGTCTGAATAATGGGACATGCATTGATGGGGAGGCTAAATTCTCCTGTGAATGTCAAGACACATATTTTGGTATGATGAATATTTTATTTATTTCTATTTTATACAGTATAAGTTACGAAACAATACATATATAAAGACATCAGTGACAGGGCTGTCATCACAACAGCACAATTAGATAAATGCAGGAGCGATCGATGAGCCCTGATGCACTAGAATAGAACTGAGATGTTTCGAAAACATTAGCATTCCCATTGGGAGGAAAACCGCAGAGAAAAAATTTAAACCAACGGCTTTCTGCAGAGCATTGACTAGCTCTCTTCACATGAATGTCTTCAATCCGGAATGAGAATTGAAACCCCAAATCTCTGAGGTAAAGAGCTGAAGTTACTTTGATGACTCCGCCACCGAACAGGGATTTGAAATTAGCAGGCGCCAAGTCGCCAAATGCATGATCAAACTTTCATCTGGTGACCAGATATTTGCCAAAGGTAGCCAAACACAGTAGAATTTTTCTGGTTACTCATAGAGGCGGAACGTATACATTTATTTACTATCAAAAACACGCGCCTATCAAGTTCTTAGAAATGAAACCATGACAATCACAGATATAAAAAAATTTGTATTGTATATAGGCCTACGCCTTATGGACTCACGTGAAAAAAGTCTGTTGGACCATAGGGTTGGACCGAGCACCTCAGACTCGCGGATCTTACGGGCCCGGTGAAAAGAGTCTGTCAACGCTCTGCTGAAAGTCGTGGGTTTTCTCCGGGTGCTCCGGTTTCCTCCCACAGGGAAAGTTGACAGGGTGGGTTAGGATAAACACAGCTAAGAAAGTAATATCACAATTGTTGTAAAGATAAATAATCTAAGCTTAGTAAGTAACATAAGCGTAATACTTGATGTAATCGGTCACTGAAAAGCCCCAATGGGGAGTGGGTTGAATAATAATGTAATGAATAATAATGTATAATTTTGCACTCTTTTGCTACAGCCCATTGCTATAAATTATCAAATTGTGTTTCATTTTGTATTTTATAGGTAAAAATTGTGAAAAGAATGGGAGTAAAGATCTTTTTCTATTGTCGCAGGTAATTGAAATTTTGCGAGCTAAGCATTAATTCAGAAATGGTTTTGAGGACATCCAGCAACGTTTTTGAGACCTATTGGGAACAGGCTTACATGAAGTACATTTTGGCTTTAAACATAAATGAAGTACGTACCAAAATTTTGAATGATCTTTTGAAATGCATGCATCTTGTCTGCATTTTTAATTACTTCGTCCCTTACTAAAAGAAACTGGTGGTTATTTTGTAGAGTGAATGAGTGGTATATTATATCCACCAAGGGTAAAATGTCTCAATGGATGAGTGTTCCAGAGAGGTCCTCATGCCTCAGTTGGGAAGATTTGGATTACTGTATAATATTTTCTAAAAGCCATAAATTTTTGCTGAGTTGCTGCCATGGTTTCTGCAGGAGCAACCTGAAACAGGTTTCTCCTACGGATTTAATTTTTCACAAAATTTACTTAAATAAGTGTCTCGCAGTATATTAATTATTAATTAATTTTACTATTTTGTAGTTAAATTGTAGTTAACTCTACAATACGCGATTTTAATTGGTTAACTTTCACACGAACCTAGTTAACTCTAACTACCTTTTTGTACAATGTGCCCCAGTGACGGCTATTGAATAAAGTTGGTAACCTGAAAATTTAATATCTGCTGCAGAAAGAAGTGAATATCAGCAACGTGGTTAACATCACTAAAGAGGTGAAAAAGTTGTCTGTTAAGAATCCAAGCCACCCTCTCCAAGCTCCAGACGTTAGCAATATCGCTACAATATTACAGAAAATTGTTGCAGTGAAACAGAAAGCTAACGAGGTTGGTTATATTCAGAGAGACCAGAATTCATACGGTCATATCGGTCCAAGGGCCGATTTCTAATATTCCTCTATAGATGGACCAAGAGGATTAGATTACTAAATTAGTGAATTCCATGTTACCATTTTGGTATAGTTTAATAAATAGTTATAGCTGCTCAGATTTCGTAGGCTTGCCACAAGTGGCAAGTCCTCCGCGGAAGTTTTTCCTAGCTTGTAGTGGGCGGAGAGAACCGTGCCAAGTGAAAATGAACAAAAATAAAATTATTTGGAAGGGATTTTGCGAAAGTCTAAGATTTGCGTGGATCGTTTTGCGCCACTGGCTCATTTCACTTTTGCACTGCAAAAAATTTTAACTCGACACCCCCAGTTACTCAAAATATTGAGTAAAATTACTCAACTCAGGGTCTCCAATGTCCATGGGCCTTGAAAATCCTGGAAAGTCCTTGAATTGGAAAAAAAATTCCAGGACTGGAAAGTTTTTGAAAACCAGTAGAACTCCTTGAAAATCAGTACAAGTTCAGAAGTTCTTGAAAGTCCTGGAATTGATTTCCTTAACCTCCAGCTGTGACACCATTAGTGATTTTCATTAAAATTACTGAATAAAGTGAATTATTTACGGCGAATCCGTGCCATTTTCAAAATTTCTCCCAGTTCTAGGTCCTTGAATTTACTGAAAATGGGCCTTGAAAGTCCTGGAAAAGTCCTTGAATTTCACCTTCATGCACCAACGGGTGGACACCTGTCAAATTTAGAGAGCAAATTTATTCATGCACTTTTTCGAGTAAGAAAAATTGAGTAAATTTGAACTGAGGGAAACTTTATTAAAAAACATTTAGTAATGTTATTCAAAATTTTGAGTCACTGTGGGTGACAAGATTAATCAGTTCAGTCTGCCTCAGGGGGTCTGACAACAGTTAAGTATGGCTATATTAAAATTTATGCCCCACCTTTCCCCGAGGTTGGGGGGGGGGGGTTACAATTGACAAGTGCATAATATAATAGTAAAATTTTTCAAAGTGGCATAGATTTTCTTCTCTAATGCCACCAATTGCTTATATGATTATGCGTATGCACTTACAGATTTCTGACGATATCTGCGCCACAATAGACAATGTACTTGATGTCAGCGAAGAAAATGTCTTCCAAAGTCAACAGGACACGAACTCTTCATCAAGGTACGATAGGGATGGATTAAGTATTGTATATGATATATATATATATAATTTTCAAATAGTTTTATTTTAACACTTTACAGGATTGTCAAAGCTTTAAATGACTTCCTAGAAACATTAGTCATCGGTTCAAGTGGAAATTTTCAAAAAGTCAAAAGAAACTACGATCTTAATTTGCAGGCCGTACAACCACAAAATTTTAGCGGGCTAACATTTTCTGGGATTGTCAGAAATTCTCGTAGATCACCGTTGAGGATTAATGACAGTTTGACAGAATTTAATGACAGCGTTGAACAAGCTTCGTCGTCTTCGATCAGCATTCCACGAACTATATTTAATGAATCAACAATTACGAACAGCTCCAGACAGCAGAGGGTCATTTTTGTCTTGTATAAGAAAACAAGTTTTTTCAAAGTGTCCTTGAAGGACACCAAGAAGACGTCAAGCCGTTTGAATAGTGTTGTCATTGCTGGAAGCATTAAGGGATTATCAGTTAGGAATTTGAGCAATCCAGTTAAGATCGCTTTAGTACAGAGTGGCGCGCGAGGAGACACGAGCAGTACTTTGTGTTCATACTGGAACTTTACCCTAGGGAATTGGTCACAAGAAGGTTGCATGTTTCAAAAGGTTTTTAGTGATGGCAGAATCCTTTGTAACTGTAATCATCTTACCAACTTTGCGATGTTGATGGTAAGTTTATTAATTTATCTTCATTATTTAGTTTTTGACTGCATTTGAGTAGGGCGGGGCGATATTTCGATATATCGATGTTATCGTGATATTTTCATTCATGATTATCGTGTCAAAGGTGGAAAAATGAGCGACGATATATATCGTAATTATCGTTAATGTGGTCAATGACTATCGTGATATTGTTTGGCACGTGCACATCGTTTTCACAAAACCCGAAAACATTTCTTTTAATTTCTCCAACATATAAATTTTGCTGCTTTGCCACTATATCGAAGTGGACAGCCAAGAAAAGCCAATGAAATAAAACAAGGTTTTTACCCTTTTTAGTTGGATATTAACTTCAATTTGTTTTTTATACTCAAGATATAAATTGATGATCTATCTTATTAGTTACTAATGTAGCTTTGTTATGTTAATATTTTTTTACTGTATGCGGCATGCATTGTTTGCATTTATCGCGATATTATCGAATATCGTGATAATCAAATTCCTAGACAATAATCATGATATGACTTCTTTAAATATCGTCCCATACCTACATCTGAGCACTGTGGACGGATCATGGTAGCACTGTGGAAACCCAAAACTTTCAATTTTTATCGGACGTCCCTTGGAAAAATGAGCCTGTTGTATACTGGGAGAAAATTTCCCGAATCCTGCGCACGGGTGAATAGGGTACTCGGAGAGGTAACATAGGTCAACTTACGTTCAAGATCACATATATTTATTGTTTAGGATATCAAACCAGCGGTAACCACAAAACACGAGAGAATACTTGGTGTAATTAGTTATGTTGGATGTGCGCTCTCATTGGTCGGACTGACCTTGACAATAATAACGATACTAATATTAAGGTAAATGAAAAATGTTTACTATATACACGAGTTGGAAGAGCCCTCCCTTACCCAAAATGGAAAGCGACAAAGAAATGTCATAATTTTTATATAAAGCACGTGAACAAATCCTGTTCGAATTCGATTCCGGGAAAGCATTGTGACAACCTCGCATTCTCATTTGGTAGACGTATAGTTGTACATTAGCACCCGCGTTAGCAACAATGACGTTCGCCCCTAGTAACGTCAACTGTCATCCACTGAAACATCAAATTTGAAGCAATGAACAAATGTTTATGGAGTTAGTTGCAATTGGCTGTATGTGCTGGAGAAACAACAGATGGTAAATTTGGGCGAGGGAAGCGCCTTCCGAAAGAAATTAGAGTGAGAGAACTTATAGTTTACTTTTACATTTTAGAGAACTCCGTAGGAAACTTCCAATGAAGATTTTGTTGAACTACTGCATCGCATTGTCATTAACGTTAATCGTGTTTTTGGCCATGCCTGAGGGATCAAAGTCGTCATCATTAGCCCGCTGTAGGACAGCGGCAGTCGCCTTGCATTACTTCTTGTTAGCAGCATTTTTGTGGATGGCGGTAGAAGCGTTCAGTTTGTATCTGGCAATAATCAAAGCTCGTAAAATCGATTCATTTCCTTGCGCGTTTATGCTGAAATGCTGTCTATTTGCTTGGGGTAAGACGTGAAATTTCGGATACATGCATTTTCTCGTCAACTGAACGAAGCAATATAGACATCTAGACATAATCTTGACGCCTGTTTTGCTGAAATAACGATTGATTATTATTTACTAAAACTAACAAAAATTAAAAGAAAAAAAAACACTAAGATAAATGTAGATTTCAATATCCGCTACAGAAACGTAACAATATGAAATTCCTGGACACGACACATTGACACTGGTGTTACCCACTTTTTCAAAACTGTATTATTATAGAAGAAAGCTGATTATTTTGGATTCAAAAAAGTCGTCTCTATTTTCACAATTCCTGAACGAAATAATTCGTTCAGTAATCTTCGGATATATAGTTAGAACAAGTGTCTTCAAAAAAGTTGTTTAAAGTTCTTTACTATAGCCTAAGATCCATAAAGGAATGATTTCTCATGCCTTTTTGATTTATACGTATTTTTAGGTACACCCGCGGTAATCGTAGCAATAACAATGATAGTGGCTCTGGACAAATATGGCGACGAGAGAAAGTAAGTAGAGTTTTTGTTTGGTCTTTAGTCAGTGTATAATGAAGCCTCCTACAGCCAGTTACAGACGACGACGTTTTCTATGACAAGTTTTCATCGGTGCCAAGCTATAGAGAGGATGACACCCCCTGAAAACGTCTTATCGGCAAAATAACCATTTTATCGGCAAATCGTTTTCGTAACCAGCAAAAATATTTGAGTGGCTCGAATTTTGATAAATTTATGAAAATATTACCGAAAAATTTAAGAAATTACGGTACATGAATTGGAAAGTTAGTGAATAATGATATGTCCGGAAAATTTTTTTATCCCCCCGCTTGCATGCCAACAATTTTGGGAAAAAATATTAAATAGCCACTGAAATGTTGTCGGCAAATGTGATACTACACCCCCCTGCTTTAGCCTCTTCGCTACGACCCTGGGCAAGTTTTATTTGTTCGTCTAATAACTACGGACAAGAGTATACTTGTTGAATAGCTAGTATGCTAGCTTTTCAATAAGTGCATAGAATAAAAATACACCTTTTCGATATAATTACATGAATCATGTTCTTGGCCTGGGAGCTTCATGAATCGTGAGCCAATCGCATTCGGGTCTTGATTCATGAGAACGAGGCTCCCAGGCCACTGAACGTATTCATGACGTAATTATCAAACAGGGGTATTGGGGAAGTACAAATTTTGTTCATCTGTATGGATGGATCAACAAAGAAAAGGTTGTTCGTAAGGGTTCGATTCCTACCGGGACGTATACCGAATATTTTTACAAAATACAAAACAACGGCTGAAAATGAACATCATTTCGACTATATTTTACTAATTTTAGTCATTATCAGGAATAATACGAATTCCTGATGACGATGTCGCATTCGAAAGCTAGAATATAAAAAAATGTTCAGTTTCGGAGTTGCCGCGTTGTTTTGGCCCACAGTTGCAGTTTTCGTAACTTCTCCCGTTTAGGTGTGAAATACAGTTACAAAAACCTTTCCATCTTCAAAAAACTTGAAACCTGATTAAAATGTCTATTTCTTTCAGTTGTCGACTGCACGGTTTGCCATTCTTTGTGGCATTTGTTACTCCAGTTATTTTAATCCTCGCTGGAAATATCGTGACTTTCTGCCTTATTATTCGGTCATTGCTTACTTCCGGTAACAAAGTGACCTCCAGCCGCAAAGTGTCGGGCTTGCAGCAAGCTCGGCAAGGGATTGCGATCATGGTACTGCTCGGGTTAACCTGGCTGTTTGGTTTTCTTGCAATCGACGATGCTAAGCTAGCATTTCAGTGGTTGTTCTGCATTTTTAACTCACTTCAGGGATTTTTGGTATTCATATTATTTTGCATTTTGCCCGCTGGGACAAGACAACACCTGCGAAAACTTTGTAGCAAAAAGAGCAAATCTCCACTTCGAGAAGACCCATCCACTGGCAGCACTGTCATTGGGAAAATGTATTAAGTAAATGATCAATGCTCTGCGTCAGGAGATGAACTTAAAACGTTGGCTTAGCCTTAGAGCTAAGAAACGGAACCTAATAATAATAATAATGGAAACTTTAATAAGGCCATGTAAAAAAAATATCCCGGTTTATCATCAGCGCCCGCATCCATTTTTCGTGCTGCATTGATTTTTTTATTTTTAAAAAATCACTATTTCCGGCGGACCGTGCGAGGAACCCACGCGAGATTCTCACGATTGTCGGCCATTTTGAAAACACGAGTTGATACCATTGGTTGATACCAGTGAACTGTAATAACACTGGAACGCTAACTGCAGATAAACATGCCCATTCTTGCCCTTGCCCGAAGCCAAGATGGCGCTTCTCGCGAGGCTCGGCGAGCAAAAAATTAACTTTCCGAGGACTGGGGAGAGTTTCGAGGAGCGGGAAATTCAGTAAAAAGTTGGTTTTTGAGCGAAAATCAGCAAGAAAAAGTACTTTTTTATCAAAAGGCTTCAACTTTAAAGATTCAAACCTGGTTTCCTGGATAGTTCTAACTAGTTTACATCTAGCCTGCGAACAGGCTCTCAAGCTGAATTGAGAGCCTGCATCGATAACTAATGAATTTGAATATCTGCGTCTCAAATCGTGACGCGAAATTCTCATTGGTCAGATGCTATAATTTATATGTTTCCGCTGAGCTCTATATATGTCAACTGCTGAATAAAAAACACATTAACTGTTCATATTGGTCTTGGCCGTCTTATCTCAAAGCACGAAATGTTCTGTTTTGAGAAAACAGTATTTAAAACATTTGAACTTTTGCTTGAATATCTTATATTTCGAAAAATAGTATAAACTGTACGGTCTAAATTTAGTTTGCACGGTCTAAATTTAGTTTGCACGAAAGTTGTAAACAACACCATATAAGGATAGACATTCCATATTTGGAAAAACGAACCTTACGGCACAGAATAAAGATCAGTAACAGAAGGGCCACTCAGCGGTGCAACGTGTCCGCGTTTTTTTATGCAAAAATATGCAGTTTACTGGCCAGAAGGCGGAGCAGCCAGCCAGTACAGCGTGTTTATTGGCCAGAAAATGTCATTGACTGGCTAGGAAAATGGCGGCCAACATGCGTAATGCGACATGCGCGAGGACAGAAACTTCAAAGCTTCCGACGTAAGTGGCCCTTCTATATGGATCTTTATTCTATGCTTACGGGGCAGATATTCAAATTCATTAATCATCGATGCAGGCTCTCAATTCAGCTTGAGAGCCTGTTCGCAGGCTAGTTTACATCCACTAACAGCAAAAACTTCCTGGGTAATGTATCGATCAATTCGAAACTTCGCCATCCCCCCCCCCCGGGCCGACCCCGGGAATTTGAACTTTTTGAAATTTGACTGATCAAATTCTCCACCCTCTGTGCAAAAAATGTCTTCAAATGCCCCACTGTAACAAGAAATTAAGCGTTCAAATGCCCCACCTTCATATGAAAATTATGAAACAGTAAATACAAAAAGTACAAAATATACGGAAATGTTTTCGACAAGATAGCGAAATTCGCGTAAACAGTTTGGATACCTTGTGGAAATTTAACAGTTTTACACAGTTATGTAGTACATACCTTCAAATGAAACACATAGATTTTCCATGCCCGTTTCTTTGAGCCAGTTTTTTCACAAAATTGAGGCCGTTTCCCTCGAAATCTGAGAAAACTGTATTTGCCGCCAATACGAAGTATTTTCTGTGCATGCAGGAAGCACGCGAAAACGGGCAACATTTTAAGACTTCCGGTTCAAATTCCCCACCCCGTTATCAAATGCCCCACCACATGGAAGACTTAGAAATTCCCTACTCCCTGGAGAAGACTTGAAGTCAAATTCCCGGGGTATGCCCGGGGGGGGGGGGGATGGTGAAGTTTCGAATTGATCGATACATAACAGCTGCTTGATATTCAAAATATTACACAAGTTTGAACGTGCCGAAAAAAACTTCGCACTTTGACTCCTGAAAAAAGGACTTTATAACTGCTCTACGTTCTGGAAACAGGTTTTGTATTAAATTTCAGGTATTGTTGAAAGTTTCTAGCTTTTTTCTTGTTAAAATACAGCTATTTAGTGCTCAAAAACAGACATCTTTTCGGTGGCGTATTTTCCACTCCATACGTACATGGCGGCCTTCATGAGTGGCTTCAAAGATGGCGGCCAAGTTATCGTTCCAGTTCCCTTAGAGTTCACTGGTTGATACACACGTGTGTAGAAACACAGCTCTTTATTGAAAATCTTATTGAAAATATTATACCATACAACTGTGCTGCGTGTTTGAGCACATTTTTTCCGTGCACCTACAAAATGTGATTCGGTAAAAAAATTTAAAAAATCCGCCCGCCCGCACGGTTTTTTTCTGCTGCCACTGATGATAAACCGGGATATTTTTTACGTGGCCTTAAAAATAAAACTTTTTGTCGGATATATACGTAATTGTAAATTTCACTTCTTCAGGTAACTTGCAATTGCCTATGGCCCTATGCTATACGTTATAGTATTATAAACAAGAATTATACTAATATACAAGCATTACTAATATACAAGAATTACTTTTTTATCTTATTGATATATATATTTTACATCAATTTAAGTAAGGCCATTTAATGTGTAAATTACGTGATTAAACCTAGATTATATCTATCTATCTAATATGCACTAGACCAGAAAAGAAAATATATAATAGGTTGTTCAGTAATGTATAAATAACCGAGAGTATTTAACGGTTGTTCTGATGCAATATTGTTGATGTTTGTCGAGTCTCAAATTAAAATTCAGCACTTCAAGACAATGAAGGTATAGCATTCTTTCTCAAATACACCGATCGAGCTTATAAAAAGATTTACAAATTTTACAGTTGAAATATTTTTAACCGGATGGTTGAAATGCTTAATATTAAATTGGCATATTAAGTTTTTTTCTTTACATACATGCATCCATACACATACAAACTTTATTTAAACAACTATACTGCAAGCTGGTTTCCACGAGGGGCGTGATCAGACAATACATATACAGGGTGTATAAAAAAAAACTGAACAGATTTGAAATTGCTCTCAATTTCGCAAAACACCTATTTGTATCCGTTTTTTATATATATAGCGTCTTTGGGTACTTATAATGTAGAATAATGAAAAAAAATTCTCGAACTCGAATTTTGTGAACCAGGGGGGTGTCTTTTCCAACAAATTAAAAATGACTCGCGCACAAAATTTAAAAGCTGTAGTCATATTTTGAGTTAATAGATGAAAA